ATTTGCAGTAAGCAGCCTTTCAGTATTCATTAATTTTAACAGAATGTTATTTTGGCAGTGATTTTTTTCCAGAAGATTAGCATCTATATGCCCAGATGTCCTGGCTGTCCATTTTCAGACAAACACCAGCACCCTCATGTAATGCAGGTAAATTATTGATTATATTAGTCTTATTCAAGCAGATAAATAAAGTTATTGATAACAAAAGAGATTTGAATGCCGAGTGGTTAATCCATAATAAGAGAGAATATCATAAAGCATGCCTAATGATCTTTGTTTAGCTTTGGCAGTTTATTTAATAACCACTATAAGATCACAGTTATCATTGCTTTGTGTGTTGCCAAAATATACTTTTTCTGGGGAACATTAAACAGCTGGGTATAGAGCTTGTTGTCATTTATATTCTTCCAAAGTGCTACAGCATCATGCTTCTGTGGCTCAATATATCATTTTCTTGGTTGCTCAACTGCAAAATAAAACCTTGTCATCTGATATAAAATAGGCGTCAATAAACTGGTTTTGTCAGAGTTATGGGACAATAATGGATTTTGCGCTCACTAAAGAAATGTCGCATGTATTGGCATGCTTTCCATTTTGTTAATCACAAAAAAGGGGGAAGACATTAGTCTAAAACAGAGGACACTGCAAAAATAGAGATCTGATATAGAAGTGCAGTATTACCATCAGATAAATAAGATGACTGGCACATCATCAGTGAAGAAAGCACTCAGGAAAAATGAGAGAGTCCCATAATATATATTTTTTTAATTTCCTGTAAAAATGCCCTTTGGATTTTTAACACAATGCACATTATACATTTTTCATTGTACTGACATGTACATGGTGAATGCTTTTGTTTTTTGTAAAATGTATTATTTTAAGTGTTTTACATTGGTGTTTCCTGTTTCTGTAGACAGAAACAAAAAATGACAGGTGAATAATATGCATTATTTAATCTGGAATGAAGCATAGAAACTAACACAATAAACAACGAGAACTTTACAGGGATTTCAGTTATATGACCATACAGAATCAAATGTAACTGGAACATTTGGCTTTTACAGATTAAAAATTGTATTCTTATATTTCAAAGACTCAAAACAAAAGCAATAATTCTGTTTTTAAAGCTTTAATGTCCATTTTTAATTAAAAAATAATGTTTGAAAGATAACTTTTGTATAATTCATTGTTTTTTAAATAAGAAAGAAACTGTCAGTGTTTGACTTCAGCACACAGGCTTAAATTGTATTTAATTTGTTACTGGCTTCATGCCGTGTGATGCATGTATGTGGTGATCATGTGTTGCTATTTTGCTTTTTACCATGCTAATGAGTCATTGTACAAAAAAATCACAAAAGTACCCCTGGAGGCTGATGCTGAGAAACCACTGCAAAAAAGGACATTAAGACCATGCTCTGTGATGACGGCCATTAATGAGAGATTCTATGTTTTAACATAAAACAGAATTCACTGGGCTATCAAGTGCCAGTAGAGCATACAAAGTAAAATCTACTTTTTTATTTTAGAAAACAAGAAGAAAATAAAGAGGAAACTCCAAGTAGAGTATGAATGTTCTCTTCGTGTTTGCATGGGGCTTCTCAGTTTACTGTATGTACAATATGTGTGTGGCCAGGGTGCGGTCCTGCCTTGTGTCCTGCGGTGGACTGTCATTCTGTCCATGGTGCGGTCCTGCAGCGCGTCCTGGGGTGGACTGGCGTCCTGTCCAGGGTGTGGTCCTGCTTTGTGTCTTGAGGTGGACTGGCGTCCTGTCCAGAGTGCAGTCCTGTGTTGTGTCTTGCGGTGGACTGGCGACCTGTTCAGGGTGCGGTCCTGCCTTGCGTCCTGCGGTGGACTGGCGTCATGTCCATGGTCCTGCCTTACTTGCTCCTGTCTTGTTCCAGCAGAGAAGTGAATCATAATTTGAATAATTGCAATTAAGTGGAACAAGACCAACTACAAAATGAATCACATAAAATAAATTAAAAGACAAAACAAACTGCAATTCCATTGTAAATGTACAGTATGTACTTATTTTGTAAAATAGACTGGTGTCTTGTCCAGGCTTACAGGATAAGAACCTGTATAAAACAGCTCTAGAGTTCCCTAGAGCCGTTCGGTACAGGACTGTTCCAGCTGGTGTGTGGAGGATAATGAGTTCAGCAATCATTTTACATATCAGGGGTAAAGACAAAGTAAAGCCTTAATGTCACTGCTTCTGCAATATGTTTGCTGATTTTGTACTTACAGATCAACATTTTTGTTACTCATATGTCACATCAGATAAGACTTAAAAAAGCACCAAATGACAAACAAACGTTAAAAAAAAGCTACTGGGGGGACAATGCAAAAACATTTTGCTCAGAAATAAATGCTTTGATTTTATAGCAGCTGCTGTTGTCGAGGAGTTATTTTTTTTGTTTTTCTTTACAGGGTTCAGTTATTGTTTTTTAAACCTACTGTATGTCAGCTTATTTCTTAGCACTACTGGATTGTAATGACTATAAACAGCACACAGAACTGAAGTGGAAAAATGTTGTCAAATGTTCTCCAACCTGATCTATCTATTTATGTGTGTTTTTACATCATATTAGAATTAACTCAGTGTCCTCAGAAGAAAGTACAGAACCTTCCACTGACAAACATGAGACAACTAAGGTGAAAACTATGACTAACATAAGGATGTTTGTGCTACACATCTGCCCTGCTACTGTGTGTATTTTAAGCTCCTTTCATGGCTTAAAATTAGCCCTTCTTTCCTGTATTTTTTATTATTACTATTACCAGTTGCACCTTCCTTATTGAAACAGCTGAGAACAAGCAACAGAATAAGAGAAAATGTTGCAATTGCTAATTATGATAGTATTATACTATTGACTAGTGAGATAAAAAAACATGTTTTTTAAAAACAACCCAGATGTTTTACACAATTAAAAAAATATTTTTCAAATCTCAGATAACTGCAATTGTCAGACATGGCATGAACAGGGACACACATATACAGTACATATCCTGTATTTATGTGTAAGTATAAGCCTTGAGATTTACAGAGGTACTGTATCTGTGACAGAGACATGTTATTCTCAAACCAGTTTAAAGGAACGGGTAAGACTGCAGCTTATTTTTGATCAGAAAGATTACTGTGTTGCTTCAGTTTCATTTAACTTTATGTAACACCATTGGGATTGAAATGGCTTTAGTCATACAGACAGATAGGACCAGTTCTGAGAGCAGGAAATGAATAAAAATGATCTATGAGAACAAAAAATACATTGAACAAAACAGTCTTGAAATGCCTTGCCTACAAGTTCTGGGAACTCTGGGAACTTTGCTGCCATTGTAATGTTTAGACTTCCTGGCAATCAGCTGACAGTGGCTCTTTGCAGGCATTATGTTTATCATATCAGATAAAGGCAAGGAAGAGTTTCCATGGCTGATCACATTGGTACCTTTTGTGTAAAGAAATTATTCTTGCTTTTCATTCCTAAATCTCCCTTAGTGTACACCTGAGTCCTCAGGACAGTGTCTTCAATAATAGTTCTCATGCCATTCTCTGGATTGGCTTTCAAAGACTAGAGAGAAACTTAAGCAATAAGGCATGAGAGACCATGCTATATCGTCAATATAGTCACAGTTAAGAGGCGTTGTTAGGCCCGACATGAAGCGGAGCACTGGCAACCCTTTTAACTGTAACTATATTCACGATATAGCACAGACCCCGAGTGCCTTATTGTTTTTATAAAACAGTTGCCAAATATATGATTGCTGTATAGAATGAATTTTAATTTAAAATTTGATTTAACACAAAAATTAAGCTTATGTTTATGTTCCTCTGCCAGAGAGTATAGTCCCTCGCTGCTATGCAAGGCAGAAACACAGGCATAAGTAACATTAACTAGCAAAAGCTAGCCAGTATGATAAGGGAATAAATGACTTGTTTTTTTTTATTTATTGTGCACTTATTGTGCAAATGTATTTATTTATTATTTGAACATTTCCATTGATCGTACAAGCATTGAAAAACTGTCCAATCCCTAGTTTGTCAGGCATTTTCTTTTTCGCTGGGGGAGCGCTCCCACTGCTGCTGGTCTCAGTCCTGCCAGGATAACACTCCAGCGCTTTCTTTCATTAAAATTGGATTTCCAATAACTCCTTAGTGAACTCTCGTTTTTATATCCACTAACGGACATAATCCCCCTTGCTTCTAACCGAGGGTTTGATCATTTCTTCACCATTGTGCTACAAAGGCAGTGGTTGGTATAAATGTTTGTTCCAGCTGCTCTACTTATTCTTGGCAACATTGTTGCAAGACAATTGATGCTCATTGGTTCCTTCACGTACCTTTGTAGCCTATGTATCTACCCCAAGAAGTCTTTAAAAGCATATGATATTGATTTGATCGACCATTATTTAATGTGCAGCACATTGATATTTATCACACAGTAAAAAGTCAAAATTGCTTCCGGGGTGTGCCTACATCAGAGATTATAGCATGGCTTCATGTTCCAATCAGCTTTCAGGACCAGAACTATCCGTTTTATAATTGTTGTTAAATCTAGAACATTATCTGAAGGCCAGAATTCCAGAATTGTTGTCTTCCTTTGAGTTCATTCCAAAGCAGCAGTGTCCTTTTTGTAATGCAGAAATCAATGTTTCCAGACTGTTATGAGATCTTACAGTCCCTTGAGAAATCTCTTTTTGAGATCTTCAAGTAACTTTCCTCATCTTTAATTATCCACTTTTCTCAATGTACTGTACTCTATTATTTTGTAAGCCTTTGTTATTTGTAGTAACAAAATCGTCAGGATAAGTTTACTACATAAAAATAAATATCCTAATTGACTAATTAAGGTCAGTGCCTTAAATTTTGGAATATGTAGCGCAGTTTTTAATTTTAACTTGAAAAAGACTTAGAATCTGGGGCTGTGCTAAATTGAAGCTGTAACGCATCCTGTATTGACTACATGTCCCATACAGCACGTCTGCTTTAACGCAACAACTCATGACGTCATGAGTAAGCGCCACGAAACATGTGTGTCATTTAATTTGCGATAGTTTCAAAATAGGTAAGTCAATAAAGTTCAGTTGTACTTGTTCTTTTTCCAGGAGCGATTGTGGTTATGATTGTACTCTGGAGAGAATTGCTATAATAAGAGGAGTGAGATGATTATGCTAAAAAATAATCATGGGTAGTCTCTTACTAACGCTTTGTACTTTGAACTATTCCTGAACGTGAGTTTATGTGAGTTTACGTTTGGACGTTTTAACCTTCCTTGATACTATATTTGTCAAACATTTCAAATTAAATGACTTCAGGCATTCATGTTAAAAATGACATCTTAACTGAAAAGTTAACTGGAGAAAATACAATAATCGGGTACGACATTTTATTTCCCTGTACCCTTGTATTTTTCTATTTGCTTAGAAGACGCACCGCTATCTAGCGCGACATACAATTCAGGTATTCACACAGCAATAAACTTAATTGTGGTGTATTCCATGGTCTTGGATACTAATTTTAAAATAAAGACAGCCCTAAACACAACATACTAAATAAGCCCTCAAATAGAGATGCCATGAAGAACATTAATTCTCCGTTGCCATACTCTTGCAGAGACGAGACTTCACTCCCAGCATTAAAACCACTGTTAACAGTTGTCTCATCGTACTTAACGCTGGGTAATCTCCTTTATAGAAAATTAATTCAGTGAAAAGTTTGGTTAAAGCCCTATTACTAAAAGTTCTAGTTCCAAAATACAACGTGTTTTGAGAAGTACTTTCCAGTGGAAGAGCTCCAAAATCTCATTGTGTAATGACGGGGTTTCAGTTTCAAAATCCCTGCACTTTCCTCTAAATTCCAGGGTCGATTTTGGAACGACAAAATAGGTATTTTTCCTCTAACTAACTGAAAAAGGGAAGGGTAATCCTTTAAGCCATTCTTCACCCGTGAACCCTTAAATCCGGTTAAAAGGGGCTCTAGAAGTATCTATGGTCATATTATTCTAAAATTGATAACACCTGGAGTTCGATTGTACATTGTGAATCCAACTACTCAGGACAGACACCTTGGTGCCATCTTTTATGTGACCTTTTTCGTTTGAGGCTTATTTTCGACTTTATCTTTTTCTCATTGTTTTTGACAACGCTTGTATATCTTCACATCTGCAGAAACGCTGATGCTTCCTTTTGTCATTTGCAAGCTTGGTTATTTTAATGCAGTTCTTGCTGGTGTTTCCAAACATTCATAATCCTTAAAGGCATTCAGAAAGTCAAATTTCAAGTCAATATCTTAGCAAATTTAATCTTATTCATGATTCATCTGCTTGGATCTTAGCTAAAACAAAAATGTTTGAGCATATATCACCTATTCTCCACAATAGAGAAAAGCAACAACAACAAAATTAACATTTTAGTATTTTAATATTTAATACATTTCATATGTGCAACGGTGACATTTACCTTCATTCAAATTGTTCCACTAAAATACCCAGCTGAGAAATTGTAAACCACTTTTGATTAAAGAAAAATAAAATATTGTAACGCTTACGGCCGACAGGTACTGTGTAAGAGCCGGCATACCAGAGCAGGTGACGTCACCGCCCTTCCCTGTGATAGCAGGACTACAGCTACTGGGCTGTAGAGAGATCTCTCTTTAGCTCACGGGGCTAGGTCGCTGCAGAGAGACGCGGGAGTCCCGGGTTCGAGCCTCCAGTCGGGATGGGGCCGACCAGATGCGGCAAGGGCGCCCGCCTGAGCCCCCGTTGCGTTACAATATTAATATACTAAACATAACACAGTGCTACTGATTTCATTGCATCCTGCAATAACAATGAATCAAGAACAAAGAGTGGTGCATTGGCTTTGTGACTAAGGATCTGCGCCTGTGGCTGGAAGGTTGCCAGTTCGTATCCCGCGGTCAGCAGAGGAAACCTACTCCATTGGACCCCTGAGCAAGGCCCTTAACCCCAACTGCTCCAAGAGTGCCGTATAAATGGCTGACCCTACGCTCTGATCCCAAGCTTCTCTCCCTGTCTGTGTGTCTTGGAGAGCAAGTTTGAGTATGCGAAAAGACAAATTCCTAATGCAGAAAAATTGTATATGGGAAAATAGTACTCTTAAAAAAATCCCAGAAGTATTGTAAACCCTGTTTTTACAACATAATTGCACATACTGTCTTTTCTCTGCAAGCAACATCTAATACTAAAGCACAGTGTTCTAGATAGGAATGCTGATTGGCAATCTCATTTGGTACAGTGTGCACTAAACAGAATAAATCTTCATGAAATTACAAAAAAGTACAAATACGTTCTGCCAACTGAAGTGAACACACTTTGCAAGGAAAACTGTTTTTGTTCTAATAGCACTGAATGTTAGAATGGCAGAGGTGGTGCAAATAGCATTCAGGTCAGGGTCCAGGTAAATACAGCACACTCTAAAGGGAACTCTTGAGGTATAGTCATCATTTAGGTTATAATATGTTCTTCACTAAATGAGTTGTGGACAAAAAAAGCTTTGAGGTTCAGACTGTAACAAGCATTCAATTTCATGCTTACTAATTCATGCCTTGCCTGGTTAATGCCTAAATGGCTATTTCTCCAAGATTGCATGCAATACAGTGACCTGTGATCCTTGGGTGAGTTTCAGCTGTGCTAATTCTTCATGTCCCTCACCCAACCAGCATGCGAAAGATAGCCACCTGACAAACCCCTCTTCTTCTGCTCCAGAAAAGGTTCACTCTCAAGTGGCTTAATGTATACGTTTTTTGCTGAACCAGTTAACTTCTTGCGAACTTCAATCATTCTCCCTGTGGCATTAATTATCTTAAAGCAAAAGAGAACTGGGTCACTTACCAAATTAATGACCCAGCTGATGTATGATAATTTGAAGCATTTTAGTATGTTGTTTTAATTATGTGATGCTGAGGTTTTGAGGATGTTTGTTTTTGTACTTAGTGAATATTCAAAAGATTTTATCTTGTGTTTTGAAAATTAAAATATTTCAATGTAGTCCAGCCTGTATAATGACTTTTCTGGAGATTGCAATTTGGTATTGTTACGAATGTAGAGATGTGTGTGTGGGGTTAGTCTAATTCAGATGCCAATTGCAATAAATAGTAAGTCCCTTATGATCTCTGTTATTGGGTCAGGTTTATTGTATGTCTTTCATGGAGTAGGTTTGAAGTCATAGAAGTCTGGCCTATAAAAGATAATGCACACTTGCATAGATGATGCTTTTATCCCTGGAGGAAGCAACAGAGTTTAGAGATGGTGGAAAATTAGACGCCAACCACTCACCTCTTCGCTTCAGTACTATATTAAGGCATCTTTTATGCAAGTCTCCACCTATTTGTAATTCCCACTCAAAGAAGCATTTTGGTTCAGTTCAAGTAGTTGACTTCACCGTTTCACAGGACTCCTTTGTCTGTGTTGTACTGAGTGGTGATCAGAAAACTCAGACTCTGTGCAATAATCCAGATAGGTACTTTTAATACTGCCAAGGCTTGCAGTAACACTCATGATACTAATGTACTAACAGGTTATTTTGTATATACAGTGGATATCAAACGTCTACACACCCTTATTGAAATTTCAGCTTTTGTTGATGTAAAGGCTGAAATCAAGACAAATCTTGTCAGGCCTTGTTTCGCCTTTAAGTGAAAAACAAATTGATCAATTTTAAAAATAATTAAAAATAAAAAAAACATTCAATGTCTTGGTTGCATAAGTGTGACCACCCTTTAATACTTTGTGGAAGAACCTTTTGCTTTGATTACAGCAGTAAGTCTGTTTGGAAAGATCTCTATTACTTTAGCACACCTGGGTTTTGCAATAGTATCCCACTCTTCTTTGAGGAAGAATTTGTATTTCCAAAGCATCTGTTTTTTTAGAGGCATTTTATAGTTTAATTGAATGACTGTAAGTTTATTGATTGCTTTGTGTGTAAAGTACAACAAGCAGTTAACTTTCAACAAGGTTAGACCTAGTGGGGCTGAAAAACAATTGAATTTGTGCTATGAAAATTGAAATAGAATGTTTTTTTTATTATTTATTCATGTTTAAGTATGTGCCTATACACTGTTTACCATTGAGAACTACAGTGTTGATAGAAGAAGTGGTTTTCTTTTGGTAATGCCAATCAGCAAGGATGGTTTTCCTTTGTTTTCAAATCAGGCTAGTTTCTTTTAAAGACAATTTGCTAGAATATGAAATTCAGGATTGGCCTGATTATTCTTCACTGCATTTTAATCACTTTGTTGTTGTTTGCCCTCCTTGGTTGTGATTGGCTGTGTGAAAGGCCCGCAGATAAAAGTTGTTGCTTTGTCAGTATTGTCTGGAGTGAGACGTTTGATTTAGCTCCACTGGAAACAACCTGTTGTACCCACCTTCACTCACTGGGTAAGAGATGTGATGTACTTTCTCCACCTTGAAAAAAATAGGTTTTCCCTTTGCTCTACTGCAAAGATTTATTCTGCCTAGCAGCCCTTTCTAAACTTCTTTAAGTGCTTACAGATCGACCCAGACATATGAAAGACCTTGAGAATTGTGGATTCCCTCTTCTGTCCTTTTGCTATTTTTTTCTTCTCCTTTTCCTTCGGTTATCTCTTTCACATCTCTGGTTGCCTTTTTTTTGCCGTTCTTCCTGTATATTATTGTTGGATTTAAACATTTTGTTTAGGTACTAAGTCTGTCATGCCATGATAATTGAGCACATTTGTTCATTATTGTATACACGTACAGTGCCATGTAATATTTTTTGTTCTTTCTGAAAAACCAATTGAAAATAAACGTTTTGCCCGGCGCGCTGAAGGATTTAAAAGCACTTTTTTTTTCTGCTTGCTAGGCATGGCGTTGGCAGGGGTGCGTGTGATCGAGCTGGCTGGCCTGGCTCCAGCTCCTTTCTGTGGCATGGTGCTGGCTGATTTTGGTGCCAGAGTGATCCGTGTGGACAGGACCCGGACCACCATGGCAATGGACGTCCAGGCCCGTGGCAAACTATCGGTGGCCTTGAATTTGAAGAAGCCTGAAGGTGCGGCTGTGTTGAGGAAGCTCTGCCTCAAGTCAGATGTCGTTCTTGAGCCTTTCCGCAAAGGTACTACTGTCCTTGTCTGGTTGCCCGGCTTTTTTTAAAATCCAAAGCAAGAGCTACAGTAGGCTGGCAAATCTGCAACATTATCATTCCACCCCAGTACTCCATTATGTTAATTCAACAAGAGTCATAGTCGTTGTTTGATCCAGAGTTGTTTAACTCTGGTTCACTGCACATTCAAACAAACCCAAGTTCAAAGTGCTAAATTGAGATGTTAGAAAGTAGCCAACAAAGTGGATTAGAAGAGCTATATGTTATGTAACTACATTTCGCATTTCAGCTATCATGCCTTTGGTAAATCAGTAGTAAACATTAAATACACAGGAAAGAACTGTATTGAAATCATGTTCATATACTGTAACAACAGAGATTACGACATGGTAAGAATATAAAATATTCATTCTGTGATAGATTTTCATTTAAGATTAGATAGGCAGTTGAATTTGCTTTGCAAGGATTTACTCATGGGGACAAAGATGAAAGCCCTGTAAATATTTTCAAGAAATGTTCCGTCAGTTTGATGCATTCCAGGCATAAGACAAAATTACCTTCATTTTTATTATTTGTTAATATTACTATATTATTTACTAAGATTACATTATTATTACTGTATTTTGCATTTGAAAAAGATTCATGATTTCTCTATATATAATTCAGATTTTTGTATTTTTTTAACTCTACTTTGAACTTTGAAGGGAACAAAACAGGAAATCACTGAAAAAAACATGAACAAAGAGAAAAACAGTAACACAGGAGTCTTGTGATTAATTTCAAACATCAGAAGTGGTGAGGAGTTGCGAATTCTGCCACAGGGCTAGTTACTTTCTCTCACGGTTAAAGTCAGCATGTTCTTCAGGTTCAGCATGTTCATGGTCAAGAGTGGTAACTGAAGTACAGAATGTGAATTCTTACACAGTACAGCCACAGAAATCAGCTCCACCTACTGTTTTATACTTGGAAACAGGGTTCACTGTGAGTACAATTTAAAATAATGATAAAAGCACTACTTTGTAAAATTCCATATTACATTAATTTTCCCGAAAATACATGTTGATATGCCATCACTTTTAAATTTGTTTGTTTCCTTGATAAGGTTTCACAGAATTGTGAAATCAGGGAAATATCTAAGGGCAAATTATTTGAAGACCAAAACACCCACAAATTAGTTGGATGAAATATTTGTAGTGCAGTATTTATTTCAATCTAATGGAGACAAGTGCTTTTGTGGAAGGAATGATTGAATGTTCAGACTTGCTTGTTCATCATTTATCCAGCCACTTGCAGTTTGTTTTTCCATTTTAAAATCCTGAGCCATGTCCTCTTGTTTAGCTCTGCCACTCTCTCAGTAGCTTTCTCATTTACAGGCACATCTTATTTTTGACATTTTTGCTGTACTGCGTAATATGTAACATAGAGCAAGTTTTTCCTCAAGCTCCTTTCTGCAGATTTGATGGCAGCTAAGTGTATTAGCTATGTAATGCAGGGACTATTGATCTGAGACATGCAGGCCAAAGCCAGGTTGCGACACAATATAATGAGGTACAACTTGTGGTTGGGTTGGTTGACTTTGTACTTTGTTGAGTGGTGTAATGATTTAAGTTGCTGCTGGTTGGTGGCATTAGTTACATCTGCTCATATAATCCTTTTCTCATTCTTTACACAAGATCCTTCTTGGGGAATTTTCACACCATTACAAAAGAGAGCAGTTAAGACATCAGTTCATACCTGCAGTATGGAAATTTATGCAAAATGAGAAATAATCTGGTATAAATGGCTGGATTGGACTGATTTTGAGTTAAGCTAATAGGTTTCAGCAGCAGATTGTTCAGGAGCACAGTGAGGATATCACTTTATTATGCCAATTAAGTTTTAATATTTCTCGAATGAGAATGTCCTTAACAATTAAGAGGATGGCGGGAGCTTTGCCCAGGAGGGATCTAGCTTTGAAGGATGTTTTGAAGGTCTTCCACTTAATTTCCTTGGAGAAAAGGTCACAAGTTCACTTGATCGTTGATAATGCCATTGCATGTTTATTGCAGGGTGCTTTTTATAGGTCGCATTCAAGATTGACTTCTCATCTGCAACTGTGTAGAAGAGAAGGAGTTTAAGAAGTGCATCAATCATTATTAAACAAATGCAAATCCTTACTACATATATGTGTAGATTCATTTCAAAAAGGCGCATTCAGGGTTGTGCTGGACTGTAGCATGTGATTGATGACACCTTATTTCATCCTGATGATGAAATCTGCAAATTACAAATTTGCATGTGTCAAAATTGTATAGAAAACATCTTGAGTATTACCTTAAATGATTGCTTAGTGGTTAATAGTTCAAGTGTAAAGAATGAGAAAAGGATTATATGAGCAGATGTAACTAACACCACCAACCAGCAGCAACTGAAATCATTACACCACTCAACAAAGTACAAAGTCAACCAACCCAACCACAAGTTGTACCTCATTATATTGGGTCACAACCTGGCTTTGGCCTGCATGTCTCAGATCAGTAGTCCCTGCATTACATAGCTAATACACTTAGCTGCCATCAAATCTGCAGAAACGTCTCAGAAATAGACATTAAATGGAATTAAATATTATTACTAATTACTATTACTATTATTAAGAAGTACTAAGAAGAACTTTTATTGTATGTAGCACCTTTTATGGTATATCATAAAGTTTTACATGTTAGAAATATTAATTTTGAAGTACTGAAGTGAGTCATCTCAATCTGTGGTGTGGTCATGGCCTTTCCTAGCTGATAGCTATGTTTAGAATCTGTACCTTACTTTCCGCTGGCTGAGAAAAACCTGTGGAGTGTTTTTGGCCGATCACCAGCAGATGATTGTATTGAAGCTCATCCTTGCAGGGTTTAGTTGGTTAGGATCCAGTTCAGTGCACTGCTCAGAAGACATATATGGGTTAAATTTTCCTCTCTTGCTTGTTTTGAGTTTCAGTAAGTTGAGAGAAACCAATATGAAATAAAAAGCAAATAAAAAAATGTATAGGTTAAAGCAGGTTTTATACATATTTTATAACTTTTGAATCCTTGTTATTGCAGAAGGTCATTTCAATTCACACAGCAGAATTGTCAATTTTTTTTAATATTAGCCTCTGATTGGGTTCTTATGAGTTGTTCAAAAATACACAATAAATGTGTTATATAAACAATTTCAAATAGTATGGAGAGGCTTTGGTTTCTGAGTATTTAACTTTATACATTTTTCTCCTTTTTATTGTATGTTTCTTATGTAATATTTTCAAAGCATAGAAGACAGCATACAGTATAAGCAAAAAAATGTTTTTCTTGTATTTCTGGAAATTCTTAAGCACATTTGTGCACAACAACTTCACAGTGTCTTGGTTATCTCATAATCCAGAGCCAGCCTCAGATACTTTCAGTAGGCAGAAATATTTGTTATGCTATAGTTCCACAGTTTTGAAATGCTATAATTAAAAAAAGAATGATTATTTTGACATGGATAATTCTTTATTACATTGCATTGTCATCAGCAATGGAGGACTGCTGAATTATAATAATGTCTGAGAACTTTATATTTGTGTTTTATTTTGTGTAATCAGTTGTTTTCTTTTGTGAGAGGCTACATGAGAAGCCCTGTAAAAGGGCACATATGAAGTTGAAAACAGGAGCTTTTCAATCTGTTTTAATTACACTACTTCTTTGCCTGAACTTGATTTGCTTTCAAGACATCATCAGTAATTCTGCTAAATCAAAAACCTATCTCTGGTCTTGCTACTGCTGTTGCAGGTGTACAGATGTATCTGTTGATCAGAAAATGCTTTCCTTGTGATGCAGATGTTCTCTGTAATAGCTCTCTCTATCCTTTGTTGATTAAAACACCTTAAGATCAAACATGGAATCCACACAGTCTCTATGGAATGCAAGGAAAGAAGACATCTGGATGTTTCTTAGAGGTTGTTTCCACACACTTGCAGGCACCAAATGCTTGCTCTTTTCCCTCTTTTTTAACATTTATTCAGTCTGAGCCAAAATAGTCACTTTAAATAGCCCTTAAAAAGCATTCAAATAAAATCTGGATGTTGGCATTTTGTGTCAACTATTTTATTATGCTTTAATTTTGAGAAGTGGAGAGACTCTGGTCTATTTTAGCCCTCCAGACCCACCCCCTTCCACACACACACACACATCAGCACCTGAGTTCTATTGTGCCCTCTTCTTTTACCGTAAATAAGTCTCCCACAGCAGACCCTGCCGCTCCACTTCTTTCTGGTGGATCAAATACAAACCAAAAGCAAAATAGGCAGTTTGATATTCACACAAAAGGAACACCCACTCACAAAGTGTCATACAGAAATGTTATCGCCTAGAACAGAATTTATCACCTCCATCCCCTTATTTTTTCCCTAACACAAGAAGCGTCTTATACATAGTTTTTTGAGATTGAGCACAAGCCTAGTATTTGCGTATCTGTCAGAGATGTCCATATTTTTGCATTCTATTTGGGATAAGATCCAGAAACTTAATTTGTTATTATGAAAGCTAAAGAAGAATGAGTTCTTCCTGTTGTATGTGGGTCTTCTGAAATGATTCTGGAGGTACGATTGCCTAGTTTTTCAGTTTTTTACAATTAGGGCAGTGTATTTCATAGTACGCTATCCTAATTGTAATTTGGTATAATAAATACAGTTTAAATTTAAATTGATTTCTAAAGTAATGCAAATAAAAAATCCTATAGTTCAGCATATAGCCTCTGGTGATCAACTGTAAATCCCAATCCGCCCCTACAGTTTGGTCTAGGATGACACCCATGAAGGGAGTTCCGAGATGAGAGTGGGACAAATTATTATGGAGTGCAGGAAAGGGAAATTCACAGTGTATTTATCTGTGACTTGATCAGACTGCTCTGCATCTGGGTAGATGTAGGGCTTTAAATTGCATTACTCTCTGTTCAGCAGTCTTTGTACGGAAACTAAAATGCATTAGGCCCTTCTCAGAGGCTGTCAGGGAATTAATCACCTAGGCAGGGATCTAGGATCTCCTGGTTTCCAATCTAACTGTAACATCCATTGCCTGTGAAATTTCCAAGACGGACTTAAAAGCTTACCGAGTGCACTTTTGAAAATGTGCAAGCAAATGTATCGTACAGAAAGGCAAAGGCGGGAATTCTGAACCCAGTAATAAGCAATTAAGAGCATGAAAGGGGGAAGCAGTGCCTTACTTTTAACAAGCCATCCCCAGGGATGAGTTATTTGTGTACCTTTGCAGAAATGGGACTGGCGTCTGTAAAATTTTGATCATGGCACTCATTTGTTTGTTCTCTTAATTACGTGAGGTAAAATGAAATCAGGCTCCTGCAATCTTCTTTTTATCCTGAGTTCAGAACAAATTAGTGATGTGTGTAACTTTTGATTGTTCTAATGTGCCCTATTTGTGAATGTTTATGCGGATGACCGGGAGTAGTAAATAAAACTATGGAACATAATAAGTCTTGATGTTTGAAAGTTTGTTTCCCCCTTTATTTTGATTGAGCTGGTCTAATTAAAATTGCAGTGAGCGGATGTTTATGACCTCAATTAATAAGTTATAGCTCTCGCTGTATTTTGCTTATGTATCCTTTTCTCTCTGCGTTTCTAAATCTGTTTCTTTTCCTTGAGCAGAAGAAGTCTATTTGATGTCAGATTCTTGATGCCCAGTGTCCAACTGTAATATGTTTTCAAATCAAATACATAATTATATGTATCAATTTTGAAGAAAATATTTAAATATAGACATTTCTTTTTTGATCTACAGCACTTAAAAATGGCGCCCTTACAAATGCAGTGAGATAATACATATCAATAATGTTAAATAGTGCCAGTACCCAAGAAAAATGTAACTGATTTCAGAAAATGCTGAAATCTATGATGAAATGCTGAAATTTATAATGCTAGTTAAGGTCAAAATGAGCAAATATGGAGGTGTTTTTATCTTTATTCATCTGTTGGGAATATTTCAAGGAATGAAAAGGATCTTTTTATCTGAGGCAGAGTAACACAGATTTGCATTTAAAAACCGGGCTGCTCTTTTATTGTCTTTGTTGAAGGAGTTATGGAGAAGCTGGGACTTGGTCCAGAGGAACTGCTTAAAGAAAACCCAAGGCTGATCTATGCCAGACTGACAGGATTTGGACAAAGCGGATCCTTCGCTACAGCAGCTGGTCATGACATCAACTACCTTGCAATGTCAGGTAAAACAGGCTCATCGGCAAGAGAGGTAATCTCTCAGACACAGGAAAATGCACAAAAAAGTTATCTCCAAGCTATTTGCACCACAGGTACCTAACTGCTTTATTTAATACTAATACTCATGGGGGTGCTGGAACCTATCTAGACAAGCAAGGGGCTCAAGGCAAAATACACCCTGAATGATTTGCTAGTTCATTGCAAGGCACACAGAGGCACAAACACACACACTGACACCAGGGCCAAGTTTTCCAGAAGCCAGTTAGTGTACCATTATGTCTTTGGACTGTGGGAGAAGAGTGGAGGACCCGGAGGAAACCCACATGGGGAGAACATACAAAGTCCACACAGATAGAACCCCAGGAAGTGAACCCTAACCACTGTGCCACCATATCTAGCAACAAAAGAGTTCAGACTAGTTCAGCTTCTGTTGTGCACCACACACATGTTGAAAATACCTTTTTTAGTATTCAGATGGACACTGTCTGCAAGTAATATACAAATACAGAAAGACTGAAAGACGGGACTCATCTTTTTTCACAGAATTTTATACAATACATTAGAAATTGCTTTACATGGACCTGTATATACAGTATATAAATATATTTATATACTGTAACAACCAAGAAGATAACCTCCTGAAAGACTGTAAGAGCCTATCACTTAAATAAATGAACATCATATGCAAATGCTGCATGTTTTACAGCTATCCAAAACAGTATGTATAGTGAATTATCTGGAAAAAGTTGTTAACATGGTTGGAGTGATGGCTAATCCTGTCAAAATGGAATGTGCTCAATGAACATGATTATTGTATTAATTATTGAATGAAGAAATTAACAGAATCAATAACAGATAATTAAAGAATAGTTCATACTAGATATAAGCAGATCCAACTACTATGGCGATACATAGATGGAGCTTTACTTAATTTATCTTAATCTATTTAAAATGTCCTTTTAAAAATATTATTTTAATGTTATTTGATGTTTAACTAATAACTGATATGGTACTGCACTGGTTAATTAAGAAATTCACAGAAAAACAAATATTTGCTTCTCTCATGCATTTACAGCTCGAGATGTTTTTTTTTTCTGGATAAAAAAACATTTTGACAGATTTGACCCCATTTGCCTTTACCATTTTGAAAAGGTTAATACATTTTCAAATTGTTGTACTATTCCTTTGAGCTTTGTGCTTTCCTTTTGTTTTTGAAGATTATAATTCTGTACTTTTCCGCAGCATAGTATGTAGTGTGTGTAAAATAACACTGACTGTCATCACAGTAGGAACAGTTTGTGTTACTCAGAATAATGAAAAGGGAGCTGGCTTTGTCTTTTCTTGAGCTCTCAAGTTGACACCAATGTGAGGGTGTCCCTTGAGTTTTGCTTCAATATCAGCCAGAGGGCCTCTCTTTTTCTAACCTCATTCAAAGGTTCTGACATGATTAGAGATGCGTAATCCAAAGAGTAGAGTTATAAAACTAATCGCCATATGAGCAAACAACAAACAGGAGCATCTCGGTGCATCACACGTGTATATGTGTATTGATTATTCTTAATGCTAACATAAATAAGATGGAAATATTAAGGGTAATGATATGCACACTCTTTTCAAACTATAAAGTGCCTGACTTGCTTTCACGAAAGAAAGCAGGTCTCTAGAGAGAGGCACAGAAATGTCTGGAACACATAAAGCAGCTATACCCAAAATATTAAGTAGATTTCAGATAAACAATTTACACCGTTTCATATTCTCTTAGAAACACTTGCTATCTTTCTCATTTTCTGGTCGGTTCTCTAAAATAATCTGTGTTGACTGTGTACGGAACCATTACTCTTAGACACCCATTCAAGACATCTTCACCTTCACACGTAGCTAATGATTTCCATTGCAAGAGTTCACATTATGAGCACTTACCTTTGTGAATATAAACTTATAGTTATTACAATTTAAATGTCCAGGTGGATTATTAGTTTAGTTAGAGGTTCATTTAAGCAACTGAAAGTCAAGTTAGATTGATAACTTGTAGCCCTGGACCAAATTCAAACAGTCTGTCTGGGAATGTAGACAGAGGTGTCAGTCCATGTTGGTTTAATCATTTGCATAACTGGAAGACATTAACTGTGCATTTCATATCTCTTCTCATTAGCCTTTTGAGGCTGCCTATAAAACCTGCAATACTATGGCTCGTAGGATCTGACTTGGACATTCCTTCTCTGTGCTTTTCAAAACACGGGTAAAACAAGACAATTCTCTATTACTTAGTTAATATGATTAGTTAATGGTCACATCTGCAGTTTTTCATTTTATGCTAATGTCATAAATTACTTATCTTGGGGCAATGATTCAGATCTCCTTTACAAGGTCTTCACTTTTTTGCTATGGAAGAATTTTAAAGACCAAAGCTGACATTTCTATTTTTATTCATAAAAGTAGAATTCTTCAGTTGTATTTCTCTCTGCATCGAGACAGCAATAAGAATGTGAACTCTAGAAGTAATATGCAGATGCCTCGGGTGAATTGAGGCACAAGAAGTCAAGTGCTTTCAACCATCTGTGAAGGCCAGATATTTCAGCTTAAATGCATGGCCTGGAGCATGTTATTCTTCACTTTAAAAGAAAAATGCAAAATATACATTTACTTAAAATGAAGGGGAGATTATACAGCTTGTTAAGATGCTTTATTTTTTCAAGGTTTTATTTTTCAGGTTGTTTTCTGTAATATTTTAATGACTACCATTGACCGCTTTCAATTACCCTCACTCATTTTTAATTGGAGACAGTTGTCTTATTGAAAGGAACTTGTTAGTGCTGTGAAATACTTTTTATCTTTAGATTTCAATTCTAGATTTGGATCTTAGAGTTTCATTTCATGTGTTGTTATTTAAGACATGCAGCATGCAAGGGTACACACTCCCCCTGTATACAGAGAATTCATTTGACCACAATTTGCAGCTTTCTTTATGAGGTCTCATGACTCCGAGCCTGCAGCACTCAGAAGTCAGCAGACTGCTCTTACTGTTCCTGAGATGCTTCAAAGTAGCATAATGGTGATCTTTGCCATATCCTGCTTTTCAGGATGTTTTCTTGCAACATGTAAAAAAAAATGTCAATTGATATAAACTTGGGTTAGAGATTTTTTCTTTCTCCTTTCAGATATCTGTACTACAAAAACAAAACCTTTTGCAGTGATTCTGCTGGGAGCTGAAAACAGCCCATGTCAGTGGGCCTGTTGTTTATTGAGGCTAACAAAAGCATCCGAGGATTGAAGGCAGATCTTTGTTCACTATCTGGGAATTTTTACTGTAACATGATAGATTTTTTTTATTTCTGAAATACTTTTCAGAATACTATTTTTGCCAGTCTGTTACAAAGAAACTTTTTCCTGTTTAGTAAGGCATTTGGCGGACTATATGTACTCCTCTTATCTGAATCTTGGATCTTCAAATCTGCCAACACAAAAAAATGCACTAAAATGTTGTATGTGTCATTTTATCATTTTCATTATGGTGTTGACATCTGCTTCCAGATTATTTTAAACCTTTTATTGTATTTTAAAGCACCTCAGTTTTGAATCTGCTTTGTTCCCCTGTAGCAGGGGTTTGCTATTTTGTAGGTGAAGCTTGTAATACAGGTTTAAAAAAAGCAATGCTGCTAGCTCAGTACTTCTGATCAAACGTTGCTATGCTTTGCTAAGTATTAAGTTGATTTTTGCTTCTGCTGATACCAACTCTTCTCTGTATTGTTTTCTTAAGAATTTCTGCCTCAAACCCACACAGCCACAATGGGCTTATTTTTTAGTAAGAGGAAATAGTAATGAGTCTGTAGCAATGGCCACTCTTCTACGATCACAGCCTAAAATGATCTGATTGTGATCCAAGTGTAACTGATGGCAAAAGTCACAGCTAGAATGCAGTGACTGAAATCAAATCTAAGCTCCTTTTCGTTTTCAATTTTCTTTAATCTTGGTCCATCTTTGCAAGCTAGTCATGCCAGAACTTCTGTGGGGACTAAAGTCACATTTGTCACAATCCTTAAAAGAAAATGTCAGGAGCATACTTGCTCTCATAATCCCCTCCTGACCAGTAGCATTAGAAAAATTTAACTCTTATACCATAAAGCAATTGTTAGACTCACTCCTACTGTGGTTTTTTGACCTTTAAAAAATGTGATAGTACTATAGGGCAGAGCACCTTTGAAGTTTTTTAGTCCACAATCATTGTAGTATTAGTGATGAAAAGTGTTGTGGGAGTCTGAAACAAACTATCCATCCATGTTGTTGAAACCAGTTCCCTGTCTTATTTCAAGAATTGGACGGATGAGATCCTTGGTTCAGTTAACTACTGAGATCCAAACAAACTAGATGGTACAAATGGCCTCCTCTTGTTTGTAATCATTAATAGGATCCTATGTTCTATGTAAATAAAATCCAAAAATGTAATCTAAGCAATCAATGCAGTTCGTATCTGTTAGGATGGATTACAGATAATTTGTAGATCCTATTCAAACTAATATTGTGGATTACATGTTAACAACACATGAATTAGCTACTAATCACCAAACAAACTAGATGGAATGAATGGCCTCCTCTCCTTTGTAACTCTTCTTATATGCTTATAAATGCATTCAGGTTGTCCTTCCAGCAGCCACTGAAGGTGGGCCTTGCCAGTAGTTCTGTTTTCTCCTTAACTCAGCAGATTCTGCAAACGCAGGAACTGTCACTTTACTCTCCTTACACTTCATCAGATTTAAGTTTCCAAAATGATGATGATGAAATACTCTAAGGCTCCACAGTGAAATAACAAAACACAAAGTTGCATCTGGAAAATAAGAACAGGTATGCTAAAATTACGAAGTCCCTTTTTGTACAGCAATGTGGATGCATAGAATAAGCTGCTTCTGACGTTGATTCTCTGAAATCCTTAAATAAATAGATGGATGAAATTCTGGGATTAATTAGATACTGTACAACTGTAGCAGTCAACCCTTCTGCTATATATGGCCTCCTTTTGTCATGTTTACTGAGTTACAAATATCAGGGAGCCTTAAAACGATCTTGGCAGGGTTTTCTTTTTCTGATTATCGGGTTTTGATGTTAAATTACAGGTTCTGCTGCATGCTAGAGCCTTGGCTCACTTTGTAAATATGTTGATGTTTAGTCACAGATCAGCAACGGACCCTTTTTTTATCCTGGTTACATAAAAGATTTGTGCGACTCTTTGATGCGCTTGATGTGCAGGTTTAGTGCTCCTCGTCATTTGCCTTTCTCACCCTGACTCAGGTTTGCTCTCGAAGCTGGGCAGGAGCTCGGAAAATCCCTATGCCCCCCTCAATCTGGTGGCTGACTTTGCAGGAGGAGGGCTGCTGTGCGCAATGGGCATTGTCCTGGCGCTGTACGAGAGGACCCGATCCGGGAGGGGGCAGGTGATTGATGCCAGTATGGTAAGTGACTTTTTGAGCTGTCTTCTTCAGAAAAAAGAACAAATTGGTGTTTAAAATCCTGTGGACAATGGCACCATGTGTATGCCCCATTACAAGAAGCACCCAGACAATTCACTCACTGCTCAGAACCTAAGACAGTCGTTTATGTAGAGCTCTCTAATGCTTGGGTCCATGGTACCAAGGAATGGAAGAAGGAGACTTGGGCTGCGCCAGCTGAAGCACTTAAATTGTTAACACACAGTACTTCTGTCATAGCTGTCTATTACTCATCTAAGCAGACACTTAAAGAGGATACCACTGATTATAGGAGTCTGTGCTCTTTTATTGTGTTGTATTTCTGTTAGGATACAAAAATAAGCTATGCAAGGTTTGGTGTGACACCTACTTGAACAGCACTGGGTTGTAGCATTGACCAAACTGGGTTGAGTGGAGTATCCCCTGGCAGCACAGAGTTTATGTTTTTCAGAGATTCCCAAAAATTATGTCCCACCAAAAAAAAAGATCCCACCATCAGTTTAAATCCCTGAAGTTATAAGAGGTAATATAATGCTGAGATTAAATCAAATTGTCAGTCTTGGTACCAAAAAATCTGTTTGTTGGCACACTACACCTCAATATTCAAATTCAGTGTCTTAGTATGGGAGAAGAAAATTATAGTAGTACATTTTTTATGAGATTTTAACTGGCATTCTGTCTGCCTGCAGTCTCTACATACAGTGGATTTAGTTTTCTGTCTATGTGTAGTCCTGGTTGCTAAAGCTGATGTCTGCTAAAAGTCTATCCACACTGATTGAGCTTGTCTTTCCTGACATTCTCATTCCCTGTTCAGTCTGCATAATGTCAGGCTATGTGATAGTATCATGGCTATCATGCTGCTTTCCAAAGCTGGCCTTAGGCACATATCTGAAGTACATGTTTAGCCTACTTGAGTGATCAGACTATGATACTTGTTGGATAGATTTCAAAGACATTGCTGGTCTGAACTCTGAGAAATACGTGACTCTGTAACCCACTCACTACCTCAAAGAACCACTGCTCTTTACAAGACTGTACGTTTGTCAAGCAGCACTCGGTTTATTTCTGTCCGTCAAGTTAAAGACCTATAATGAGCATTGCAACACTTCTATAGTGCTTTTTTGCAGTACAGCATCAGGTTTGTGTCTCAAAGTAAGTGGAAGGAGAGATATTAGATCCATTTCAGGAATTAAATGTTGCAAAGCTGTTTTAATGCTGCAAAGTGGTTCTAAGCCCTATGTGGGACCTCAGCCTGGTTTTCTGAAAGTTTTATACACACACTACTGCCATTGTAAAAATACTTTTCCTTCTTGCAAGGCTGTAAATATTTGTTTTAAGCAGAATTCTTCTCTAACTATTGAAGATTTACAAAAAAAGGCTTTGACAGATTGTTCAGCTTGCCCTAATTTTAAAGATATAGCAACTTTTTTAGATTTACCCACAAAACCACATACTTTCGTAATACAATTAAGATCCTGTAATTGATTGTAATATTTTTGCCTTAATACAAGGCACTGATTTCCATACTACTTGGTTGAAATAACTACAGAAATTACTTTTGTTTCAAAATAGTATTAACTCATTTTGGAAAATAACATATTTTCTTAAATGTGTTTATTTTACGGACTTTATTCATTTGAAACGAGATCAAATTTTGCCTTTGACTAAAAATACCATCATTGACCAATTGTGTTACAGGAAGTAAGGGAATTTGCATGATTGTTTTTCACTACATGTTGCTTTGTAATGTTTTATGAATGCCTCTGTGGTATTTGGGAATTTATTTTTGTTTATGCTGAATGCATTATCTCAATTCTCCAGATCATTATGAACATTTTCCTGTCCTTAAAAAAAACACATTGTGACTTTGAAAACATTGTAAACATTGTGTCTTAATCATCTCACAGGAGTGTCAGTGCTTTGGTGTATGTGGCTGAAGAGATTGTAATACCTACTCAGAGTGACATGTAGACATTGTTTCGGGATCCCCAAGTTGATCTACTTTTGAAGTTACAGAAATTTGCAGATGACCTCAATATCAAATTATAAATGTATAATATTAATGTTGACATTTTAAAAAATGAGGCTTTTTAAAATGTACAGCTCTTGTTGGAAATATACAGGTTCTTGCCTCAGAGTATGAAATTTGTTGATACATCAGGTGCTGGTGCTTATTATTTTGCCATTGCAATTAAAAATAAACAGTACTGTATTAGTCATTGATAGTTTCTGAGAATCATTAAAACTGCAGTCTAAGCCAGAATTTCCTGGGGAACAAGGAGTACAAAGTGGCTTCAGTGCAGAGCAATAATACATTGAATCAGTTGCAGTAATTAGATTTATTTATTTATATATTATTAAATTATTTATTATTTAATAAGAAGTTATTATTTTTTTAATCTGAAGGCATTAAGACCTATGGAAGGTGCTGTGTATGTGACGGATTTATAGTTGTACGTTTTTGCGTCTTTCAAGTCCAGACATCACATGTTGTAACATAGGTACTGTACTTGGAAGCATCGACTGCACTCCTGACATTGTCATTGAGTTTGCTATTGTAGTTTTGATAAAATAAATCATTATCTTATTCAAGCAGAAGAAAAGAAAGAATCGCCAGAAGAGACAAAACAGGGATGGCAGTGAATGTGTTTCAACATTAGACAAAGTTGTGACAGTAAAATGATGATAAAATATTAGCCATGATAGTAAAATGCAGGCCACTACAACAAAGTAGGAAAGTAGGGTTGTGACACGGAAAAAAAGACTTTGTATTCATTAGTTCAAACGGGGTATGACACAGCAGAAAACCATCTCCTCAATTAATGTGAGATAAAATTTTAGAACAAGCCGTTTTCGATCTCAAAGAATAGCTAGTGACTTCTTTTTCTCAGTGTTTCACTCAGTGTGCTAAATTTGTTTTCACCTTTGGCCATGCTACAATCACTAAGAGAGGTCCGAGCCATCAGAATGGATTTTACAGGCACTTACAGGATTTACGCTTTCTCTTCTTGACCATCTGCCAGTGGCACAGCATTTTAGAGCATTTCACATGCAATACAATAGGCATGCTAATAATAAAAGCAGTGATAAATTATACTGATATCCATTAAAAGTGTAACAAATACTATTATTTCCAAAACTCAATGGCTATTTTTAATACCTGTAGGTACGTATTATATATAGTGGTTCATGATGTCACATGAAGATAAAATATGTCTACAAATTAATTTCTGTCCTATCACGTCTGTTCTGAGGAGGGGGTCCATTTACACTTCGAGACACAGGAGTCTGACCCTGAGTGTGCTATGTCAATGCTTTGAAGAATCATCTTAAAAAATTAAATCTTCTGGGAGTTTAATGATGTGTGCATAGGACTGGTGCATTAGTGTGTGTTTGTATGCAGTTTAGCACTATCATTCCAAAGCCTGTTTGATTTCACAGCCAGGAGCAGAACGACATAAGACAGTTTCTCTCTTGCTCAATTTGGCATTTAGTTAAACCCTTGAGATCTCTTTTCTTGTGTTTATCATTTACACACAATTACATCCATATTGGAGTGTTCTACACTTCTGGCTCTTAAATCTTTTTTTTCTCTCTTCCATTCCACCAGAGCTCTTAATTAGTATAGAATTATTCACATAACTGAACCAGTTTAACCTTTTCCCAGGTTTCAGTCAGGTACTGATCTAAAGCATGCAGGATGGTGTCCCTCGAGGACTGGATCTAAAAAAGAGCCACCATGTGAGTCTAAGAAAGCTGTTCTGCAGTATACCATTCTTTGTGGGCTATCATTGTCTCTGATTGTTTGTTAAACGTCAACAGCCTTCACTGGCACTTCCCTGAAATGTCCTTTAATGTATAGTTTTGAAATTAATAAAATATTTTTGTATTCACTTCTAAGAGTCACTTCCAAGGGTGGCTGCTAGATGGCACTGAAATCTGTTTTGTGAAGTCCATCCAAAATTATAAATAAGACGTTTGAGGTAGGAGGTTTGGGATTGTCATACAGGGATGTATGGGCCAGTGTAGTGTTACCATTTAATAGGGAAATGTAAATAATCTTTATTCTATCTGGAATTGACAGGAAAATCAATAGAACAGCAGCCTATGAACAGCTGAATATAAGTGTGTAGTCTATCATCTGTTCTGTAGGTGTTTCAATAAAGGAATCCAAATTAATTGAAAACACACAAGCTGACACAAAAATATACTGTAAAATACTGTCTTATCATTCTTGAGCTTTACCACTTGCTTACCTGCAATAAAGCTTCCAACATGTTGAAAACTATGTGTGATTTCTGGATAAGTGCTGTCATTTTTACAGTTTCTACAGATTTACTCCGTGCTGTGAGAATTGGTTTTCAGTGACACACTACAGTTTGAAACACAATGGAACACAAGACTGAATGCTTCTGGCCATAAACTGAAACCCCATTTTGTTCTCTGGGCCTCGAGTCAAGATTACCAATTGTGGGTTTTCCATCTGCAGCGCAATATCAAGTAATGGCTGTAGTTGCTTTCTCAGGCAGAAGTCCTATATCAGTCAGTAGCACCTAAATGGGATCTGTGTAGTTACAGCACCAAAATCCCATTGCATAGTGCAATTATCAGAAGCGGACATATAATACATTAAACTGAAGTTCAAGCACTGATGGTCAGTTCTTTTTTTTTTCAAAACATGATTTAAGATTCCTATTTTGTTGAATTATTTGTTGAGAATTGTTTTTATTATGAAGCATTTACCTTGCATATTGTGTTGAGTATTTAAACTTATAGTGTTGATAATATTGTTATTGGTAATGATGATAATAATGCTAATTATAATAAAGATGAAGAATTAAAAACACTTTCCAAAACATTTGACTCCCCGGTGAGTTTTTTCCTATGATTTTACGTTTCATGTTTCTGATTCTCTTGTTGCACTGCAGGTGGAAGGAGCTGCCTATGTGGGATCTTTTATCTGGAAATCCCAAAACCTGGGCCTTTGGAACAGACCCCGAGGTCACAACCTGCTGGACAGTGGGGCTCCATTTTATGAGACCTACGAGACAGCAGATGGGAAGCACATGGCTGTGGGGGCTATTGAACCTCAGTTTTATAATGAGCTCATCAAAGGTGCGTTGTTTTCTGTCTCTTCTGCACTTCTTTCCTTTTGGCTGGCTACTGATGAGGTGTGACAATGCTGGTCATGATGAATATTTGATGAACAAATAAAGAACAAGTGATTGAAATAAAATCTTATACACTATAAAAAGGTACCTGAAGTGTTTTCCTCCCCGTTGTAATTATTACTTTATTCATAATATGAGTAGGTAGTCCTGTAGAATTTGGGCTCTGTTGAAAGGATACATGAATGGAAATAAATGAGTAAAAAGCAAAATTGAAGGCAATTAAGCACTGCAGCACTCCAGGAAGATTTATGGGTCTCTTTTGTGGGGTTCAGTTTTGACAACGTCTTTCATGAAATTCCATGCTATTCATGATTCACACCCTGCAGTCTTAAACAATGTTTATGGCATGGGTAGGAATTCCACGCGCTCTGTTTTTTCTGTCTTTCTTTGTCCATTTACACCCCCTGAGGAAAAAAAGAGTAGCATGTTTGAGGTCATTTGATTTTTTTTAGACAAATTGAATGCTTCTCTCTTGTATTTTAAATAAACGTTTTTAATAATAGGTTGTTTTGAACACTGTCCACTAAATAATTTTAGCTATGTACTGTATGTTTCTATGACAATAATGTCAAATGGTTTTGCCTCTCTTTTTGGCTCAGTTCAACTGCATAGCCAGGTATCAACTACACATTTAAAAAAAAATATATATATTATGCAACATTACATGGACTGCAGTGTTTTTAATATAGCAAAGTCCATTTCAAATTCCGATTTTTGGGAAGTAACTTCAGTCAGATTTGCTTCACAGCATGGGACAGAAGTTAAGAAGGTGCCTTTGAAGTTCTGACAGGTATTTTTCACTGAACCAATTACAAGATGCACTGTTATCCTCTGAGACCTGTTCTCTAAAAAAAGGCCCAAAGCTTAGGATGTACTGTATTATTGTAGGTTTTTATTCCCCAAACTGTGAAGTCAACTTGTTCATCTTCCTTTTTCCATGTGCTTACAGTAATAAAGTGTATAGACCACTAAAAAAAGAAGACTAATTGTTGCACATATGTCCCACCATCCCACACCTTTATTATTCTCTTCTCACCATTTCCCATTTTTCATAAATTTTACGAGTCCAAATGAAATTGACATTATATTGCAGATATTGATCTACCGAACTGATTTACCCTGATTTGCAAGTCAGAGAAATTCTGCAAAATATGTTGGTGTAAAGCTCTTCACAAAAAAGATCCCCACATCCAGTGATAAGGCTGTCCATTCAAATGAGGCAAAAAAATATACACTGCCTGGGTATCATACACACAGAAACTCATTTCTGTCCTGTACAAATGAATCCCATATTAGAAAAATAATTAGTATGGAGAGGTCCTTAAAAATCCTCCATAGCCCTGGCTCTAACAAAGTAGTTGCAAGTCTGAATTTTCTAGGGCAGAAGTTTAAAAGGATTTGTTTACTTCTGAATACCTTTCAGCAAATGTCTTCCTCTAATTATTCCTTTTCCTCCTCTAAATGTCTTCCTTCCAGGTCTCGGCTTGGATCCAACTGAATTACCTCTGCAAATGAGCGTCTCCGACTGGCCAGAGCTGAAGAGGATTTTTACAGAGACCTTTGCCAGCAAGACGCAGGCAGAGTGGTCCAAGATTTTTGATGGCACGGATGCCTGTGTGACACCCGTGCTTTCCCTAGAAGAAGTCAGCTCCCACCCACACAACAGGGAACGGGGCTCTTTCATCAAAGATGCACAGGGAGAGGTCAGCCCCCGGCCAGCCCCCCTCCTCTCTCGCACCCCAGCCTCCCCCAGCTCCAGCAGGGACCCTTTCATAGGCGAACACACGCGGACTGTCCTGGCCGAGTATGGCTACAGCTCCGCTCAAATCGACAGCTTGCTGTCTGCTGGAGTGATAGAATGCAAGTCAAAGTCACGCCTGTAGCTCATTCTCACATGGATGGGATACGATGCCCAGCCAACAGTCTGTTGTGATCTAGGCAAAACAAATGGCACTCATTAAAATGTCCTTACAAACACATCAATGGTGAAATGGATAGTTCTCAATATATGTGCTTCTGAAAACTGTTGCATGCAGAAATGAAAACAAATTTGGAAACAAGAATGGTTTGTGGATGACATGGTCTCTTGATACTGAAGTAAAAATGATGAAGACATTAAGATATAGAAAAAAATATTGTTCAAATGTTGATTAATTGTAACAAACAATACTTTATTCTTAAAATAGAATTTCTCTTAGTACCTTACTCTGTAAAAACCTTTCAGAATTAATTTTGACCATTTCTGTGTAATCCTGTGGTTGTTCTTTCAGTTACATTTTTAACCATTAAACTACAGTGATTCTTTGTAAGATGTAATTTTAGATTGTTTCCTGTAACTTATCAATACAATTATATGAAATTGCTTATGTGTTTTTAATACAGTATGTAGAATGAAAGCTGTCTGCAGTAAATGGGAGCATAGCAGGTCCCTTTCCTGGGAATGCGTTTTATGATACAAATTTGAACACAGTATATAATCTCAAAATAAAAATAGCAACCCAGCAGATGGTAACTACACCTTAGTTTTTTTTTATATTTATAAGTGACAAAATCAAAAGAGATGTTTTTGATCACAGGTGTACATTATCACTATATTAATGTTAAGTTACATATAAAATCCTTTGATTTGCACTACTTGATTCAAAAGGTCCCAAATGTTCTGATTGGATTATCTGGCTGTTTTACGTATTTCCCTGACATTTATGTGTTTGGAAGACATTTGAAAATACTGATCTTTCTTTTAGTTTTTTTCAGAATTGCAATGAGTGTGGTGAGAGTGCCTCGGTAATGTGATTTGCCAACTTCAAGCAGAATTGTGTTTTTCCTTAATCTATGTAAAGGTTAAGGATTATACAGGACAGTATCTTTAAGCATTGCAGAGGTGAATTATTTATCACCCACAGCAGTAAATTAAGCACCTAAATCACCTTGTAGGGTCATAGATGAAAAGAATTGGAGAGTTGATCACAGAGGAATGTGTACATTTTGCACTGTAAATGCAATTACGTGTTAATTGTTGGGTGGTGTGAGTAAAATGTAAAAATGCGTGGTATATCATTTGTGTCTGTTTGGGAGGTAGGTTGTGTCAGATTTTTATCTTCATCAGTGAGATTTTCTTAGGCCAAAGAATCTTTCATTTCAGACTGAGTAAAGACACAATGGGGGCAGACCTAATCTATAAGTGGCAAAAAGGAAGGCTTTTAAGTTTTTCTCTCTCAAACAAGTGCTATACACAAAGAAATTGTGGAATTAAAAAATCACCCCATTAAACATTTAGTATGTGGCTAAATTCATAACCTGCAAATAGTGTTTTATGGGGAAATAAGTTTTCTATGACAAATGATGAATTTATACATAAAACATAACAGGTGCTAACATGCAGTTTTTAATAACACATATGCACCCTACAAAACCCAGACTGTGAGTTGTAAAAAGGTTTTGAATATCCTTCATATTTGAATATTTTGTACTACCCTGATATGACTATGGTGAGACTCATGATAAAAGCATGACTTCATGCTAATCCACTGTGAATTAATCTCGAATATCAAACCCATTTTACCCCAGTGATAAAGCGGGATTTACTGTACATGATTGCCTCTAGGATTATAACTCTAGTATGACTTGAGCTGCACTGCTTTAAAATGGGTTTTTCAAACCAAAGAAATGCGTTGCTTCTAGGATAGGAGTTTTAGAAAATGATTGGAAATACAGTACATAAATTTAGTTTTGGATCTTTAGTAAGCCGATGGTGCTTTTATATTATTTCGTTAAGCAGGCATCCTAAAGTAACACAATATACTGTAGTTGCATATAGTCAATACAATGAATGTATAAGCAACATTCATATTACAATAAAACAAATTAAATACAATAAATTACGAACAAAATTGAAAACCAGTATTCAGACTAGTAGTCATGTAGTGACGATATTCTCGCAACATATTCTACTTTTAATGGCACTCAACAATTGAAGTTTTTATTCCCTTTACATACGTTTACATTTGTAATTCCTCCCTTTTAATCGCTCTCAACCTGAAATCCTCAATTACCCCAACTGTTTACTTTTTCTGATCGGTAGGAGAATGAGAATTGTCATTTGACTTTAATCTGTTCAAATTAAGTTACCATACTTCTAATTTACAGACGAATGCATCAATTAAAAACACGGGCAGCAGAAATAATCACAAAATGTATTCAGCGCCAATTATGTTTTGAATCCAACCAATAAACTGCGAAATCGAATACATACTGTACCCAGCGACAATGTGATTCATGGACACATGAATGTGTTTCAATTTTTTGGAGAAAAAAAAACTGTAGTGTTTCAAATGTGTCCTTTAAACGGACTACAGGGCCCGTTGAGAAACACTAGTTTTGTGTAAAACCTGTTGCATCGTGCGATTTTCCTGTGACAACTCACTGTCCTTATAAAGAACCTCAAAACATTGTTTCGAAGGAAAAGTAAGACATCCTAGTTTGAAAAGCCCATTTTGCAAGCAGTACAAATAGATATTTTTATCAATCTATGTGGATTCAAATCCAGATACAGTACGGGATCAGCTACATTAGTGGCATCAGAGATAACTGTTACAAAAGCAAACAAAGCATATTAAACCACAATCCTTACCATGCATCCTTCCTAACGTGATATCCCTAATCCTAAAATATCCGGGCCGCATCTGACAACAAAGAGAAATGTGTAAATTCAGCGTTACACGAAACGATAAACACGTAAAAAGAAATTATATTGGTATGACCAGTTATATAAGACTGGTGATAATATCGGTCAACTCTCTTTAATTGGTGATAGAATAGTGAACAGTTGACCAGTGTTTCACACCTGGTCCGTAGATAAACGAGAATCAATAAATTATTAAATATAAGATAAACAGCGAGGGAATAATATGGATAACTGTAAAAATACCCATAAAACGAAGTCGTAAATTATATATATTAATTTCATGGAAAACTATAGTGGTGGTCCCTTATGATACCAGTATCGTCGGTATATAATTATTACTGAAAAGAGCCGAGACCCAAACGGAGCCGCTCGTAACTTTACCAAGAAACTGGCCTTACAGGGGTCCATTTCTTGCATTCACAGTGGCGCAGCACCCTGGTGTTAAAAGTGATGCTGGAGGCATCACATGTCACATCACTTGATCTACATAATGAGTATCAGTGAATAAGTTCACAGTAAAGTCTTATGCAACAAGGTCGCTCTTTAATTGTACATTAATCTAAGATATTGATCGGTTATACTGTACGTAACAAATCAATATATGAATTTATTTTATATACATTTGTTGTTATGTTTTATCAATTACTGTATATGCTGGATTCGTTCAGCAATGCATTGAGATTTCACTCATCACTTTTGTGATTCACCCAACCAAAACAACAAAAAAAGTAGGAAACAAGATTTTTTTTTAAAAAAAGACATCATTACATTATGTCCAGGCATCGTAAAAAAGCTTGATAATCTCTATCACGTGTTTTCAGTCTTCAAATAACTCGTGACATTCCGGTGCTCCAGGAGGGTGTAAGGAGAGAGGGGGAAAAAAAGTTTATGCGCTCGGATGGAAGTTAACAACCCCCCTTTCTAACAGAGCACAGTAGTTCCAAGGGTGATGTGGCTGTGACAACATTGGCAACATTGGCTATTAACAACAGGCCTGTCTGCAAAAGCAATCCCGTCCATGATGACTCTATTAACAGAAGAACAACTGGCAAAACTACCCCAAACCAGCGTTCCTATCACGACAATGGAGCACCAAAAGCTGGAGAGCCGAAATAAAGACGACCCGAACTTAATCGAAGCTCCCACGGACGTTTTAGGGGTTGTGCAGCACCCCAAAAGATCTAAAGGTAGACTGCTGATGCATGGCACGGTAATGTTTGGAAGGGAATTTTCTTATGCGGTGGAAGCTGCGTTCGTGACGCCGGTGTTGCTCAGCGTAGGACTCCCAAGAAGTCTGTACAGTATGGTATGGCTCATCAGCCCAATTTTGGGGTTTATCCTGCAGCCTGTGATCGGATCCGCAAGTGATCACTGCAGGTCGAGATGGGGCAGGAGAAGACCCTATATTCTGATCCTTGGGATCATGATGCTGGTTGGGCTCACAATGTTTCTCAATGGAGACGCGGTGATTTCAGGTGGGTTTCCTTTGCACAGTTCTTGTTTTTTTATAACAAAGCTCCGTACTTCATTTATTGTGCGTTGGTTTACTTGGAGAATTACTTAGCTACATGTTCCCCCCCTTTTTATTAGCCAATTTAGCTGCTTCTCTGTGGAGTTAAGGACTAATTTGCTAATTGGATGTCCTCAATAAGACATCCAGCAAATTTGGGAAAAAAATAAAAGACCCAATGTGTTTTTTTTTAGCAGGCTAACAAAACATTGCGGTAACCGTGAATAAACAAGTTGGTTCTAGATATGTGAATCATAAGAGTGTTGTGCTCACGAAGTGGTTAAGAGTTGTTATATGCAGATTTGGTAAAACGTACATAAAGTTGTGCTTCTTTTTAATAGGTATTTGATATTTTATTTCGTATAAAGTCTATAGGGTGATAAAAAAATAAATTTTGCTGTGACGTGTGAAACGCAGTGCTGAACTTTCCCGAAAGGAATAAATCCGTCTATGAATTTACAGTACGTCAAATGACAGCTTCTCACTACACGGGTCTACCTCTAACGGAATTCATACAAAAGCGCAATTGTGTGTCAGATATGGGACAGGGTACTACGTCTGAAACATAGTCTAACAACTGTTATGTCCTAGTTAATAAACTTTGCCCGTGTTGGAGCAGAGTACTGTATTAGTTCGGATTTTGTAATATGTTAGAAAAGGAATAAAGATTGTAACCCAGTCCACTAGATAAATCACAACTCGGGGACTGCTGTATCTGGCCTTCCTAAAATGACCCTGTACAGTAATTCCACTAGTGAAGCAGTTCTTCTCCTATCCAATTAATGTGGTTTGGGGGCTGCTGAGGCATAATAGTTGCTGTGTGTCCTCCTTTATAAGTAAAATAGTCTGGATTCCTGATATGCATCATATCAATGCAATGTATTATCATTATTAAACTGGTTATTAAAGTAGGACATTAATTTAGAGAAATAATATTATTCTGGGTCCTCGTTTCGAACTCTTTCCAAGGCAGCAACATGCTTTTTTGTTTTGTGACTGACAAAACTGAGTAGTGTTCTTAACAAGATTTTCCTGTTTCATTATAAAAAGCCTTTTTTATTGGTTTACTCACATTGTCTAGATCAGAACAATACCAAAACAAGATAAGTGGCAGGATACCAGTTCATGTTTAGTGTCAGCCACATAGCCTAGTAATATTAATACACTTTTCTTCCTCCCAACACACATCATCCAGTAAGTACAGGTGCCTTCACAACTGTCAAGCATGGTGGTACTGTAGCAGCATCATGTTACAGGTCTACTTCTCAGACCTGAATGGCAAGCTTAGTCGGGTTTGAGGGGAAAAATGGTGCAAACCTTGGGGTAGATTTTAAATCTGAGGGGAAATAAATGATAATAATAACAGCTTAATGTTATCAACATGATTAAATACATGTTCGCTGGCTTCATAAAGTTTGGTCTTTTGATTTGAAAAGTATGAGTTTTTCAATGATGACTGGAGATGCTGTTGAGCAGGAATAAATGCCACATACTGTATGGTATATAAAGAATTAAAATACTTTCCAGTGAGTCATTGCAATGCCTACTTACAGTGAAAAGGACATTTTCTATGATTTATTAAGTTAAATTGTTCAACTGTGTATCCACAAGCGCTCATGCTGTGGGAATACAGCCATATTTAGAAACATTTGAAAGCCTGTGTTTTCTTTAGCTTTATCAGTGCTTGACCATGAAAGCAACATCTTAGGAATATCAACTGCTCACTTCTATCCTAGATGAATGTCTCGCTCTGATATAGAGGGTTGCTTTTAGACAAGCTTTGCGGGTAATACTTGTCTCATTCATAAAGACATTTTTCCGTAGCAGTTTTCTTAGAAAGAAGTCTTTTATATGATTTTACCTGGTTCATTGAACTTCATTATCACTCTTAAATTTGATTACATTATGGGCAGTTAGGCTTATGGATTGTAATATTCAGCAATAATGTATTACAAATGAGCATAAATTACTGCAAAACCTTCAAAAGAAGAGAGAATACTTACATTAAAACTATTTACGCAATGTTTCACATGTTCAGTGAATGTATAATGAATATAAGTATAGTACATTTTTCCTGAAACCGGAATATTAACAATTACAAGGTATTGTAGTGGTGTCTGAAAAAAAATCAGTTTGATGATAATGCCTGTCCTGACTTATTGTACGGTACAAAATTGCTTTAGAGTACTTGAGAGGTTTCATAAATTTGATCTATAAGCATTAGGATTAAGTATCTAGAGCTGATGCAGTATGTTGTGTCTGATTCTGTTAGGCTCAGGTTTGTTTTAGAACTATACCAACTGCCCCAAAGAACTCCCTTATGAGATATTATAATAATTCTGTTTGAAATTTTTTGGGGGGTGGCATAGTGTTGAAGAGGTTAACATTGTTGTTACAACACTGGGGCTATGGTGCTCTGGGTTCAATTCCCAGGATGCATTACTGTATGCTTAGAGTTTGTATGTTCTCCCCATGTTTGTGTGAGTTTGCTCTAGGTGTTCCTGTTTCTTCCCACCGTCCAAAGATATACTGGTAGGTTAAGTGGCTTCTGGGAAAATTGGCCCTGCTTTGACTGAGTGCATTTGTTTACTCTGTGGTGGATTGGCATCCCGTCCAGGGTGTATCCTGCCTTGCATCCATTGCTTGTCATCATAGGCTCTGACTCCCCCAATATTTATTTGTCATGGATGAAGCAGTTAGAAGATGCAATGATTTTTTTTTATTACCATTTCATCATTATAAACATCCCTCTGGTTATTCATGAAAGCAAGCCTCTCCACTAAAAAACATTTCTATCAGAAAGGTTGACAAAATTAATAAATAATCCCAGCTGTGTTTATCAGGTTTCATGCAGTTGTTCATAAGCACCATTCTAATTTTCATATATTCAGTTGAAAGTGTCCATTTGTTACCTTAATTATTGTATTTAAAGTGCTGATTATAATTTTCACACATGGTGCTTTAAAGCCCCTCCAGGGAACATCAACAGTAGTCAAGTTTTAAGAGATGTCACTGCGATTGCGTTGTAAGATTAATCAAAGCTTTATTTACATGCGTAGCATTTAAAAGGGGCTGACGCTGATCTATTGAAAATGAATCGATGTGTATTGTCATTGTTCATGGAGAAAGGTTCCACATGGTCTCATTTGTATGTATACCAAGTTTCATTGATCCACAGAGCACATATTACAAAATACAAATAGATAGACTGGCAAGGTGTTTAATCACTTCAAGTATCATCATTTCTAAACTGTTATCAGGGTTCTGTTGAAGGCTCACTGTAATGCACAAACACTGGCATGTGGCCCTTTTTGAATTATGAATTCAGTAATGATCCACGTATATTTAAACATACATTACCTTTGCACTGATAGGTTCCAGAGAGTCAAAAAGATTTATTGTCTACAGGATCTACATTGATCACAAGGTAGAAAGGTTGTAATTGTTTTCTCTTTTCCATGTAATAAAACCCATGCATTGACGTTGTTCGCTTAGCATTCCAGTGTGTTTATGAATGCTGTTCAATGGCTGCGTGGTCAGGGTGCCGAGTTTTGCCTGAAGCTGTTGCCATTTCATCTGTTCTGACCATTGTGTTATATCAGAACGGTCACTTTGATGTGGTGATTACACTTCTTCAAAAGTGAATGACAAACACATGATCACCACTCACTTGATTTTAGGAAATGACTGCTGAGCACTGTGGAGCTCTACTGCTTTTAGCTCTGCTATTGGACTTTGAGGCACAAAGAAAATCGTTGTTACTGTGACTGCAGAGTGCAACAGTTGTCTCAGGTTGGAGTATGGTATAGTTTAATTGATACTGTGATGAATTTTATGATCCCAGTAAGGTATTCGTAGGTGTCTAAGACCGCTTTCTTCTTCATACAGACGAATTGAATCTGAAATTCACAAGTGTTTCTCTACATGAGACAATGGGACAACCTTTTGCACATGCTTTTTAAAATATATATTTTTTTTGTATATTTCTAATCATCTTTTGCCTCATTTTAGCTTCACCCTACAGATATACAGTAACATAAATATTGCATAAAAAGGTGGAAAATGGGAATCAAATTATATTCATATTCATATCACTGAAAGTTTCATTTAAAACTTTACTGCCTTACATTACATACATTCATCCTTTTCAGATAAAAATTAGATTCTTGGTGTTTTGGGGCTTCGGATGAGCTCTTCTTGTGCTTTCGTGACAGTGAAGCCTATATATACTGTATAGGCACTACACTGTAGTACAAAGGCTACCCACAATGCAGCTCTTCTCCACTCAAGAACATCAAACAAACAATGCTGGATGAGGAACTGGTTGTTTGAGTGATTTCAAGGGCTCTTAGAACTGCAACATTGTGACTGATAAATTAAGAAATCTTTTAAAAGAAATAATTATCTTTTTTATTGTGTTTCTAACATGTTAATGTACAAGAGGCTGAACTGACCAATTTGTTGAGGCTCTTCACATTTCTGTTATTATCTGATGTTTTTTAGTTTTGTCCCTTATTGTCTCCTGAGTGCGGCAGCCCTTTTAAGACATATTGTTGAAATAAATCCCTCTTCCGTACTCCTTATAGATGCTAGTAAACTTAATCGGATTGCATTTCATTGGGTTGATTACATCCAAATTTGCATACGATTCCTACAGCTTTCACAACCTTGCCTAGGTTCCAGAATAAAATGTTCCCAATGGATCTGAGACTGGGATTTTAAAGGAGCCAGGACCATATACGGTACAGTACCTATAAGACCACTAAGCAATATAAAGGGATGTTCATTCATCTTTGCTACCTAAAAATTGGCATTTCAAAAGGTGTACAACATTTCCACGAAAAACAAAAAATGAGTCACCCATCCACTGTTTTTCCCATTAGTAAGTTTTCTGTGTCCTCTTCTGTGTGCATTGTGCCTATGTTTTAAGACATATTATGGTTAAACAATCTCAAATGCACCCTATTTCCATGTATAGAGAATAATTTTGTGTGAAGGAAACAAACAAAAAAGCAAACAAACAAATTGGTATAAATGAGCCATTTAATTGACATATTTATTAAAGCCTCATCATGCTACATTTGAAAACCCTCCTTAAAACAAGACTTTGCTATTAAGTCTAATCCACATGGTCTCATCCAGGACACAAGGAGGTTAAGCCTAATTTGCTCAAGATGGCATTAAGTGAGTGGCAGAACTAGGGCTTGAATCAAGTACCTCCTAGTAAGAGGCTGTTATCCTTTACACCTGGGTTATCAAGCTTATAATGTTGGTAAGTACTATACCTAAGTCTCTGTGCTACTATCCCCCACTGTTGGTAAATCATTAATTTTGATTTAGCAAAAGATAAATTAATTCAGTTAAGGAAATGATTAGTTTACATGTCTAAAAGCTCAAATTGAATGACATTCAGAAGGCATGAAAGACATAGCAGCAAAGCATGCTATTACAATCAACATTATAACAATAGAATTTCTTTAGAATTGGTTTTGAAAGCACTATCTACAATAGAGAATACATAATGCACATAACAGCAGCAAAAAGAAAAAAAGAATACAGTACATCAATCATACCCAAAACAACAAGGGAAAAATAAATTGTTCATTAAAAGTTGTATTATACAATTATAAAAACTGTATACATTAAATCATACTTCTTTAAACATTCTGCAGCCGTACAGTATCTAATGGATCCCAGCAATGAATACCACATATGTGGTGCTGTACAAAGGGAGTCGTTGAAACCCATTGTGTGGATCCTGGACTTCAGTTGTGCAAGAAGGCCTGAATCAGGTTAAGAGATGAATTATACTCATGCCATAAAACCTTATGATGACCTTACAGTCCACTCAAAATTTCACAGAGCCAGAACAGTTTGTATAGGAGAGAATTTACTGTGTATACTGATATGGAATAGTTATATCCAGCACATGGGATGGCACAGAATCCCTAACATACAGAAGCAGTTCAAGTACATTAGGTAGCTGTGTCAGCATGCGTAGGCTGCAGAGGAACCAGTAAAGGTTTATTCCATGCTGAAAAGAGAGCAAAAGAAAGACAATGTTTCATCTGTGGAGCCTTCTTCAGCCGAAATGTTGTTTCTTTTCTTCCCTTTTCAGCATACAGAAGCATGTTTGGATCCTTAGAAGACACAACAGTAGGTCAGGTATTACAGTGATCCAATTTTGATTATATAAATTGATATGTCAATATTTCAGCATCAGATAAAGCAAGAGCTTTAACTTCGCATTGCTGTGTAGGAGGCAAAAGAAATTCTTGTGAGATTCCCAACTGTAGCTTCACTGGATCAAATGGAATGATGATGCCAAGGTTTATAACTGCTGTCAAGGGACTGATCTGAGCACCAGCAGGATCTCTTGCAAAGCAGATATTTGGTGCCAATGAGCAAACTTCTCTTTCAAGAAAATACATTTCTATTCAAATGTTATTATCAAGTGGACACATGTAAAGTGCAGAAACCACAGCATGAGGAGAGGTACAGTAGCACTAATACTGCTGTCAGAAGTACTATTATAGATTTAAGTGCAACTCCTATACAGATAAGAACATACTGTATGTGCAGAATTCCCAGACTATCACAGTGATTTAAACTAACACTAAATTTTATGAGTATACACCTGAAGAAGACTCCACGGCCGAAACGTTGTGTTTTTTCTCTCTTCTTTTTTTCATCATGGAATAAACCTATTACTTGTTCCTTTACAGTATAAAGAGCCTGTTTTAGGATCTTTGCACTTGGCACCATTCTTCTGTTGCAGTATCTGTCATTCATGCTTTGGTGTTTTGTTCCAGCTATTGTGACAGATCATGGTTTGAAACAGACCTGGGCCATAGTGGTGGTGATGTTTGGAGTGGTTCTGTTCGACTTTGCTGCAGATTTCATTGATGGTCCCATCAAGGCATATCTCTTTGATGTTTGCTCTCATCAGGAAAAAGAGAGAGGGCTCCATTATCACGCCCTTCTGACAGGTAGGTACCAGACTTTGTATCTCTTCATTGTGTATCTGCCTGTAAATGAATGCCTGATCCAAACCACACCTTTGATCCCCCTGCTATTAAAAATTGTATATCCAGTTGCTGATTGCAGCTTTTTGTCTGCAAGAGGCATTTTCCCTGTACTCAAAAGAAATTGATGATCAAGCAGTGAGACTGAAATTTGCCTTTGGTAGGGGGATCAATGTTTACATTTGGTCTACACCAGTGTCCTTTCTGAAATGCTAACTGAGAGGTTCAGAAAAGTTGAATAATCGTACTTGCAGGTCCACATTTTGCTTAAAAGAGAGTAGACAAATGCCTATTCTCCTTTTAAATATTATTATGGTACCAAGATTTGATAAAGCAGCAAGTGAGTTATTAACTTTTTAAGTAGTGTGCTCTTGTTTCCTGGAGTGCCACAAATATTCAATAATGGTGAATGTCATTGTTAACAGAAGGTTTTGTAACCTTGGAAATTTTATTACGTAACCACAGTTTAATTCACAGCCCCAAAATAAAGAAGCACAATATCAAATAACAGGATCTCTACAATATAATTATAATGTATTTGTTTGGAAAATAATGCTAGGAAGACATAATGCATTTTAATTTTGTGCCTTTCTTAATGCATCTGTGTATAATGTATCAGCAACTGCTATCTTTGGATTTTGCACAGCACTGGAAATAGTTTTGAAAACTCTAATTTCCTGTAATCTCATCTGCATCAGCGATAAAGACAGTAGATAATTTTCTGGATTGTTTCAGAAACATTTTCTTCATACAAAGACTGTAATAGCTCTAATGATGATAAGATTCATGATTTTTTATCCACTTAACATGTTGTTTAAAAATAAACTGCATTACAGCAACACACAGGCCATAAGTATTGCTTAAGTTATACAGTATAACTGTATTATAGTTCATGCTTTAAACTTTGTTTATATTGTATCCTTAAAATTTTACATGTATGATCTTGAAATACATTGTGAAGTCTCATATTTTGCCAAGAGTTGAAAACATAGTGCTTCTAACCTGAAGGAGTGCTATAATACTGATTTTTGATGAGCAAATAAAAGATGTACATTCTTTACATTTTCTAGTAGATCAGGATAGGCTATTTTTTATCATGTTAATGATTTATTCAACCAGATATGTTAGATGAGATCAAATTCTCATTTACAATGGCTATCTGGCCAACGGTCTTACATCACTGTTGCTTTGATTAGTGGAAGGCTACACATTTCTAGAGATCATTTTAATAAATCATTAATAAGCAGTATAATAAAGCAGATTAAACCACACTGACATTTTCATAGCTTTACATTTGACTTTAAGTTGTACAGTAGTCAGAATGTTTAATGCACAGCTTCTAATCAGTTTTCATTTAAGGTGGGCTCTTAATTGCTTATTTTGGTCCTTAGTTAAATTAATAGTTTAATTCATTAGAATGGGGATTCCCAGTTTTGCTACTGTACTTGACTGAGGATCCTCCCACATGCTAGTTGTCATTCCAGCTGTGCTCTGTTACTTAACTGAACTCTTACTCTACCCGAGGGCTGGAGATTTCCCATACTCCAGAAAATGTAAGTTTAAAGTGTGAGGGGAGGCACATACAAAGAGCCTGATAATCCACTTCAGATATTTGGTCATGTGCTGAAGTCAGGAGTTATTTGCTTTGCAAGAGATTTAACTCATGATTAGCTACTTGGTATAGGGCAGGAGACAGTCATGAACAATGGAGCTTTTTTACTTTGCTTTAATACATTTTTGTGAAGGAAACTTCACTGAACATTAAATGCCAATAACCTTTGGGACTGTTGATTCAAATTCCGAAGTAAACATTAAAAATTAACATTTTCTTTTTTCACATTCATCACATACCTTTTAAATTAAGGCCATCCTGCCATTTAACTTGTTAAAGTATTTTTCTGTATGCTCTTCATAAAACACAATATATAATACATTGTGAGGCATCCTGTCAAAATCATGTTTACTATGTTCTTTTATAAGCAGTAAAGAAGATTCAGATTTGCTTCTTAGGATAAATGCAGTGAATAGTAGTTTGAGGAGGTGATGTGAACCAGAATGCCAAATACTGTTTATTCTCAATTCTAACCTAGACCCTCTGGGTATTGTACATACAGTATGTATTCAATCTCTTACAAATACTCTCTTCTCTTTTCCCACTTAATTTGCTTACCACAATATGAAGTGAGTGATGGTTTGCATTGGCTACATCAGAGCTACTGTATATGTCATGGTTTGAAATTACCTTGGCCCCTTGTAACATTCTTTAAACTACCAACAACCACTCTTTCTGCCAACCATAACAGCAGTTATATTATTTTTCTGAAGAAGGTTTCACTTGGCAATGACCAGAGATGTCAATTGTGAAACAAAAATTCTCATTATAATTCCTTGCATTTATATTAGCACTTTTCATGCCAAAGAACCTCAGAGAGCTTTACATTCATGAGGCTTAATTGAATGAAGGCAGATCTTTGCTGTAGCCAAGTTGTGCAAACTCATAGTGGAATGTACCCAGAACACACTGCGGTTACAGGGGTTAACAACTCTGCTGTTTCAGATAGTGTCATATGATCTTTAATGACCATCATTGTAACGTCTCACCAAGAGGACAGCACCTCCTACAATACAATACCATACTTTGGACACGTGGGAGGAAACTGAAGCACCTGGAATAAATCCATGTGAACATGAGGAGAACTTACAAACTCCAAGCAGAAGGGATCCCAGGAATTGAACCTAGGTCCCCCGTGCTGTGAGGCAGCAACCACGTTAAGCCCTCTATCCATGTTTAGTGTGGATGATTATAACAATATATGTAATAATTATGAAGGTGTTTTTAGTTTGGAAGTGGGCTAGAATAGGTGAAGAGTTAGAGATAGAGATCATCAGAAGTAAGATGCCAAACATTTCAATATACATGCTGAAAAGAGAAGAAAAAAACACCTGATCAAAAAAAAAACCTTGATCACACCTGAAGAAGGCTCCATGGCCAAAACGCAGCTACCCACCTAAACTATTTCAATTTACATGCTATGTAAACTATAATTTTTTAAGTGTTGCAAACTGTATGGAAGTGCAAGGATGACCTTTTATTAAAGTATACTAACAGCCACGAAAACGTTTCCTATCCAAAGAAAAAAAAAAGAACAAATGTGTCAATCACGTTTAATTATATTATAAATGAAACTTACAAAATTACAGAACTTACACAGTACCGGTCACCCAGAGCCTAACTCAGCAAATAATGGGCACAAAATATGCATCGTGGATGGAAAGCAAGTCTGTTGCAGAGAACACACATAGGGGACATTTGAGATGCAACAGTTACCCACTGTGCTACACTGTCACTGTCCCCCCCTTGCATTATTGGCAGTTTAAACATTTAGTATAGCTGCACTAAACCTTAACAGAATATGAGCAGAAAGGCTTAGTGCCACCATTTCTTCCTTTTTCTGCCTTCTTGAGAATGCAACTAGAACTACAGTAAGCAATTGCTGTACTTGGATTTCACGTGAAATACAAAAACCTACCGTTGCAACACTGTGAAGAGGGGTCATGCACTCACGTGTTATGTACAATTGACTTAATAGACTTACTGCTATACTGTATAGAGAATGTATCTGACTTCCAGTTGAGTGGAGTGAGTGCAATTGAAGAATGTAAGATGTAGATCCAAAGAGTTGTTGCATAGTGTTCCCTAACTGACACTGGGACTGTGAAATTTAATTAACTTGTCCATTACATCCGGCAAAACATTTTGAATTTCCAATGCCATGCTTTTCTAATTAACTGATGCTCTGCACTTGTATTGTTAGAAGGCAGTTATTTACACAACAAGGCCCACAGCCAATTTGATTAGCTAGGAAACTTGTCAAAGAGTAAATAATGGGAAACTATTTTAGACTTGTTCAGTAAAATGAAGCCAGGAAAACAAACATGGAAAAATAAACCTGGGGTGGAATCTAAGGGAAGGTTGCAGTTTTGACTGTGGACGTCCTGCCTTACAGCTCAGCTTGTGCATGACCACAAGGAAATTGTCTTTCTTGGTGAGCCAAAGAAAGAACACAGCTAAAAACAGACCAGTAAAGACACGAAATGAACAAGGATAGAGTGTAGTGTTCTCAGCTGACTATAATTATGCCCTCGCTGCTGCCACATCAGGTCGGCCCCCACGGTCGGGGACTCAAACCCAGGTCTCCGGCGTCACTCAACAGGGACCCAGCCTCTTGAGCCAAAGGGAAATCTCCCTTCAGCCCGGCGGCTGCGGTCCCTGCTATCCACAGGGAAGGGCGGTGACATTACCGCTCTGGTAAGCCAGCTCTCGCAAGCAATGGAGGCCATAAGCGTTACAATATTAATTGTTCAAAGCATGTAATATAGAGTGGTATAAGGAAAAGTTATTCAGCCAAAATAGTATGCCATAAGACACTAACCAAAGAAATCCACAAAAGTAAAATACCTCTAAATTATAGCCTACATATTTGGTACATTATGGCACCTAAGCAAAAAACAGAACAATCCAAGGTACAATGTTGAAGAAAGAGTTTTTGAACATTGTTACAACTCCAAGTCTAGCAGCCAAGTACAATATTACTGTATGTACTCTGGGTGTGACGGTCCATTTTTTTCTTTCTTTTTATTTGAAAATTGACAGTAATGTTTTAATCTGCACAAGTGTCTTTACTGGTCGAGACACACAGGAGGCCTGGGATTCTGTACTCAGTATATAGTCATGTACTGTTTTTGAAACTGTAAGATCTGCTCTTGTTCTGATATCTCTTGCTCCATTGCATTGATGCCAGAATTAACCCTCCTCAGCGTATAGTTATACAGGCAGATAAGTTCATGTTCAGTATTAAATTCAGATTTCAAGATCAATGGGAAAAAATAGTAAAAAAACATGTTATGCAACAGGTTATGCAAGCTAATAAGGAATCAAAGTATACATATTGACATTTATAAAACCTTTTTTAAAAAGATTTTATAAATCTTTCTCCTCTCCCTCAAACTGAAGTGTTATTAATGGAGTACCTCAGTGTTCTGTATTCTCCCTAATTAATATCTAAAAGTCAGGAGAAAGATGTGTTGCTGATTCCAATACCCAGGCTTCTTTCTAGCTATCCTATGTCTCAATGAGATCCTCAGATAAAATAGCTACTTACAAGTTGCTGGACCAATGGCCGCTTATGTGTAATCTTTCATATGTTCTCTTTTTGGCTGCATGTTTATGCAGGTTTAGGTGGTGCCTGTGGCTACTTTGTTGGTGCCATAGACTGGAGACACTCTGCTCTTGGAGTCCTCCTGGGATCCGAATACCAGGTCATCTACTTTTTCTCTGCAATCATCCTGTGGGTATTCCTCACCATCCACCTCTTCAGCATCCCTGAAATCCCTCTGGGGAAAGACAGCCCCCTGAACCCAGACTCTGACACCACGGGGCTTCTGAGCAACCACAGCAACGGCTATGGGGCAGTGGTCAGAGAGGCCAACCACGAGCCCGGCCTCCGAGCCCCGTCTTTCGCGGCCCTTGGAGAGGCTAATGCAGTCACGCCAAGTGCGAAACAGCCAAACAAAGAGGTAACGTGTTGTTCTTTTTTCTCACACTCTCTTACCCACTTCCCAGCTTCAAATTTATGGCTTTGTGGTCAATAAATTGACCACATCCATTTTCGAAAATCCATCCATTTTCGAACTGCTTCATCCAGGTCGTGGGGAAGCCGGAGCCTATTTCAGCAAGTAACAGGCTGAAAGTGGGATACATCATGGATGTGACACCTGTCCATAGCAAGCACACAAAGACAGACACACACACACACTCGATCCAGGGTGAATTTTCCCAGAAGCCTAATACCTACCAGTATGGTTGTGGACTGAGGGAGGAAACTGGAGCACAGGGAGGGAAGCCACATGAACATGGTGAGAATGTACAAACTCCATGCAGATAGCACCCTGGGTCCTAAATCAATGCCCAGGGCCCCAGCGCTGAGAGGCAGCAATGCTGATTGATCACTTTGCCACCCCTTTTTCTGTTTTGAAGTCCCTCACTAGAAGTCCTTCAGGCTCTTTATATTAACTTGCTGATGTCCTGAATTCATTCTCACTAAATTAAGTTGTTAAACAGAAACCTTAGTTGCACCTTTGTGTTTTAATACTGTAGTTATTTTAATAGTGCAAACATGTCAATGATTTGAATTATTGTTACTGCTGATTTTATTGAAACTCATAAATCAAAATGAGCAGTTTGACAATGCTAAATAAAAATGTTCATTATTGCTAAATAAAAATGTTCATTATTAGCCTTTTAACCTTAATTAATTCAACAGTTTCTTATAATCTTATTGTAAGATAAACTTCAATAAACAAGCTCAATTTACTAAATTACTCTGGTGATATTGCCTCTTGAGGGTGGTGCGAGGGCATCAGGATTTATTTTCGAGAAAGTGCTAACATTGTAACCTACTGTATTCAATTCAATTCAATTCAACTTTATTGTCATTAAACTTACACAGGTGCATAGTATAATGAAAAGTGTTTCTCATTAGTCACTCAGGTGCAGTATATAAATAGGACAGAAGATAAGACAATAGACAGTTACACAATAGCAATAACAGTAACATGTAATAACATAAAATAAATAACATGTAATCAAGTAATCAAAACTGCAAAATTCGCAAACAGAAAAAATGTAACAGGACAAAAACAGTGCAAGGTAATTCTTGGAACAGTGCAAAAAAATAGTATGGTTAAAAGTAGTATGGTTAATTAATGAATATTAAATATTATTATGCCTGTTACAATTTTACTGGGCTATCAAGGGGACAGTACAATTGTGGCTTATATGTGTGTGTGGTGGTGTAGGAGTACAGTGGTTGTGGGTACTTTTCGTTTCTGACAGAATAAAAATCAGAATTTAAAAATGACTAATGTGAATGTAATGTAATATAATATTAATTTCTAGAGAAATCACATGGTCCATTTTACAGCATGTTAAATACCAATATTGATCATGCTAAAACTCTTAGAAGTCTTGATTTAGGTTTGAATTTTTATATTTTTTAACCCATTGTTTGATGATAATTACACATGGTACGGTACCTCTTAAAATAATGAGAAGCCGGGAGCTTTCAGCATAACAATGTGTTTATTGAACAATGTCCTTTGAGAAAGATTCAGAAAGCCTCATTATTCTATGAGTGATCTCACAGGGATCTCCTGAGCTGTACTCTCCACATAAAAACAAACCTCTAGAAACTTCTTTTGTTTTTGTACAGTATCCCTCTTTGTAGAAGGAATAGAGTGTTTGCTGAGTGTTTTTAGACATTAAACATCACCTACTTTTCATCCCTCCATAGCCTTCACCCCTTTTTTGTTTTTCAGACGCATCTTAACTTCCCGTTCACGCAAATTCAAAAGCGCATTTTTTAATTTAGTTTTTAAATTGAATTGGTTAACCTATTCATCAAGGCATGTAAATATAGCACATAGAGACAGGAGGCTGCTTGAAATACCTGGATTTGTTCTTGACTGATTAGAATAAAATGTCATATATTGGGGATTTTGTAAATTATATTAATAGTTTTTTTAATCGCAGCAATTATAGTGTTCTACTTTCTGTAAATGTTTTAAAGCCTGTTATCTTACAGTAATCCATTGCCCGGTTCATCTTAATCTGTAGAAGCAGAAATCTTTACAATACTTTGCAAAATGACCAAGGCAGATATTTTCAGGTTTGAGTGATTTATTTTCTCTTGGTACATCTATGGCAGCTGTGAAAACATCACTTATGCTCAAGCTGCTGTGCTCTACTGATATCTTTATTCAACCCAAAGCAATTCCAGAAACTCAGCACAAAAATGTTTTTCCTTGAGCCTAAATTAAACACCTCAGTCCAATTTAAAAAGAAGGAATACAGACCTGAAGTGTGTGCCCCTTCCCTGAGCAACACGCAGGAATATTTCGAGTACAGAAGGCAGGCATTTTGTTAGCGAAAAACTGAATCAATAAACCTGTCTGTTCACTATTTGAATAGTCTAAACATTATGTACAGTATGTGCCAAATGAACCATTGATGTAAAACGTATACAGCTGTGTTTTCATTGTCCATCAGTATACTGTACATTATAGATATTATGCTTAATGAGCATTGCTATTATAGGACAGTTCAGTTCTACAATACTCTCATTGATGCCCAAAGGTTGGTCTGAAGACTACTGGTAAGATGACCTGTAAGAGGTCTTCATTGCATGGATTTGAGCTTCAACATTTTCTGTAGATTGTACTTTCTGATTTTCTGTAGATTGTACATCAGAGTCAATACGACATTCCAAAACTGCAGAGCATAATTAATTTCTGAGGACAAGATTGCCAACATTTTCCTCCAGTGTGTTCTGTAAAAATCTGAAATCGTAAAGCTTAATACTTCCATTGTGGTGTAACAGACTGTTGTAACTGTAAATGTAATGGTGAAAGCTTTGAACAAATGAACAAAAATCAATTCATGAAAAAATTAGAAGCTTAACAAATCGATATATTATTTTTTAGATGTACTGGCATGCAGGGGTTCCAGCATTTTAACGGTCGTTTCTACAAAAGCTACAGTACTTGCTTTTGAAAGCTTCTTGTATTGGCATATTAATCAACAAGAGATACCGACTTCAAATCTGCTTTCTTGTTTATACCTTTTTCTCTCACATAAATGACACTCTGTCTGACATAGCAGAATCTTCTGTCTTTGTCCCCTGAATGCAATTAAAATAGCACATTTTATTGTTTAAAATCATCTTCACATTTGTTCCTTAGTTATATCTGAATTTGTGTTGTTTGTTACTAATTAATATCTTTATATATATTTATACAAATAAATATCTTTATTTTTTAAATGATAATTTTATGGTTGCGCTATCCTCTTTAAGGTGTGGGTAAAGTAATTAGCCGTCTTTAATTAATATGTAGCTGGAAAAATATTTGAACTTCATTTGTTATCATCCATGGTTTAATTAAAACAATTTTGATAATACTAATTAGAGGTTTAAAGGCATTTAGAGAGGATCAGAATAAATGTCTATGCTTGGCAAGTATCCAATATATATTGACTCTTTCTTCTTTTTTTCAGCATGGAATAAACCTATTACTTCTTCCTTTCCTTTGCATCCAATATATAATATGCATTCACAATTTTTTTTTATTTATTTGAAAAATATACCCCAGCAGTATTGACGGGATTTCCACAAACTTAAACAATTTTCCCACATTCTTTTGCCGTCAGCATTGACAAGTAGGTAGTGTATACAGTACTTCCACTTTTGTGTAAGCAATTAGTCTTGTGCTTTCTCATTAGTTCAGCTCCGAACTGCAATACAGTACATTGAGGAAATAATCAGTGAAATGACACTTCTTGCTTGGTAATGACTGGAAGGTTGACTTTAAATTACTGATTAAGGAAGGGTTTTCACTGGATGCACAAGAAATGTGTTGCTCCCCTGTGCAAGGCAGCAGCCTACTGGCACATTTTGTTGTCAAGATCTGCAGTTCAGAAATGCTGCCTGTTCCTAACGAAGACTGTAAGAGGCAGTCATAGACAGCAGTTTACAAAGGTATTTTATTCATTGGTGGCGATTATTGTTGGAGATGTGTTCCAGTGGGTTCAGCTCTAGAGATAGGCTAGGCTGTTTTAGAATGATTCTGTCCTTAATGCATTTGGCGTGGAATCCATAGGGGCTACTAGACAGTCATAGCTATTAATATGTGAAGGAGCAATTACTTCTGCCCAAGGTTCTACTCATATATGCCAGTTGGCTCCCATGCAGACAGGCTAATAATTTTTGTATAATTGCAGCCAAGATAGTATGTTACTGGGCTACTGAAGATAGAAAAGACACACAATATAATCATTTTCCAGGACTGCTTTGTACAGGATTTGTTGTTGTAATGAAACCATTCAGGATTACTGATTGCATTCGTGTGTTTCTATGCTGCATGCATGTACACTGTACAGTATCTACGCATATGGTATAGTACATTAACAGTGTTCATATTTTGCCTGTGTTATATATGGTTCTAGAATAAAGTGATTTTTCAAAACAAGCCCACATTGAAGGAAAAAGTGTTTTTTTTTACCTTCGTGGAGTTACTGTACTTTTCTTTATCTTAAATACAGTACTTTTGTACCTTTTTGTAAATACTTTTTGTAAGTGATTGTAATTAAACTGCACAGGCTACAGACTGCGAACTGTAAACTAAAATGCCTACATTTGTTCATTGCATTATATTTACAAAGATGTTCTCTTATGAGTGTTATGTAATTAAAAAGTTTGAACTTATTTAGTTTTCACCTTCTCAGTGGTAATCAGTGCAAATGTTAAACCACTGTAATTGACTGGTCAGCAGCATGTAATCCTGAGTTAACAGATTGATCACAACTGTGGTCTTTCTGAAGATAACTGAGAGCATCTTGCTTTGTGTTATAGTAATGAATAATAATGATGTATAATCAACCTCTGAATGATTCTAAAGGCTTCTTGTTTATTGACATTATGGATATTTGGGGAATACTGTAAGTAATGATAGTCTAAATGCCTGGTTTGCCTCAGTACAGTAAGAATAGGACAGAAATATTGTAAAGGACTGGGTCACCTTCCCCTTGGCTCTTCCCCCACACTAAACAGGATCTCCTCTGCTTTCATCCCAAGGGTTTGTCAACTCTGTATTATAGGCTCTCATGCTGACGCACAGCATACAGGCAGCATACCTCTGAAGTCTAAATCCAAATTATGCAGAGGTTAGTGCTGGGGATAATAGCAGAAAAAAAGGCACTAAGCAGTTTACTTCAAGGCATCATTTTCACTAATTTATCCCTAAAGAAAGAGAGAGAGATGCTCTTTCACACTACAATATACAGACATGTTTAAGGTGATTTTTCTGACTCTTATTTTTAGCCTTATAGGATTAAGGGCCTATGTTTACTTTGCTTTTCCGTAGTGCTCAGTTATAAACAGCATCAAAGTGTTTATGAGTGTTGTTTGAAGCACTCAAAGCCTAATATTAAAAAAATCCCCAATAGCTATAACTGTTACATTTACTTCAGTCCATGTTGCTACCGTATATTGAATATATGTTCTTAGACATTGCTCAGCTCTTTATTCAGGCTGGCCTTTACACGTTACTTATGTGCATGCTGAAGATTGGGGAAATATGTGTCATATTTCCATGCTGGTGAAAATCTTCTAAGAGAAATGTATAAAAAGCATGTTAAATTAGTTTTCAAATGTATTAATATTTTGGAATTGCAATGTTTATGTATCAGGCTCCTAAGTAGCTGATGCCTCAAGGATTGTAAGGATTTTTATTTCTTCCTGCTTTTGAAACTTCTCATGCTTAAATACCAGGCAGCTGAACAACTTCATACTAGGCAGCTGTAGTGGAAAAGATAAGCCATTGAATATGTCACAAACATTGGGGTTCTGCATCAGCCAATTTGGGGGTCTGGCCCATGTACTGTATGTCAAAATCCTTTCAAAATCCTTTTCTTGTGCATTAATTGAATCGTAACTAGACAGATGTCAACAATCACAACCTTTTCACATTATGCCACAAGAGGCCAGAAAATGTCTTGAGAAATATGGCCCAAGTGACAATGCAATTGCAATAAAGTAATATATTGTATGACCGCTTTTTTCTCAAACATTGCACTACCACTGTCTTAGGAGCCGCTATACTGATTGATTTTAAACTGGTTTGAAACACATGATGAAATCTGACTGGAGGCCACACCCCGACTCTGCGCTGATAGCCAAGGAGAGAGGATATGCATAGCACCTCTCTGTATTCTCTCAGCTGCAGGTGCTCTGAGGGCATTTAAACCCAACTCAATCCATTCTTGGCGCTCCGGCATTGACTTGTCAACACTGCACTCCTGAGACTTCTTACAGCACAGCCCTTGCTATTCCTGGTATCCAGTTCTTTCAGACTCTGCCTGGGAGCTCTGCCCACAGATATGAGGTCCAGAGGACTCCGGTTGCTGAAAGGGGATCGGAGGACGGGTCTCTGCTTTGGACCCAGCCTCCGCAGATGTCTCTGTTGGCCTGGTCCAGATTGTGCCTGGAAATTTGGTTCCATACACTTCCCTGGAGGACTGCATTCCAAGAGACCACGCTGACAGCACACACCTGGCCTGGGCTATGGAGAAGACCGCCTGTGGGCATGAGTTTTGAATCAACACTTGGGACCCTCCGTACAAACCGCCCAATTTGGAGTTTCCTGCCTGGCCTTGGAGGTCAGATCCCTTTGTCCTTGAATGCCTTCTGGACAAAGCACATCTCTGGGCCTTGGTGGCTCTTCTCCATCCTGCACTAGACTTCCCTGCGCTCCCCTTCCTGCATTTCAAACCATCAGCCTTCCTGCCTGCATCCCAGGCAACTTCAGCAGGTTGTCCGCCACCCTGGGCGTCTCTTTCTTCCCCAAGAACCCAGCCACAGAAATCCGGACTGACACCCCGTCAGGCGGCCCTTGCTCCTGATTCCCTTCCACTAAGAATTCAGGCGGTCATGCATCAGCATGGATTTGTCCAGCCAGCCACTCCCCCTTCTCCCAACATCTTCACGTCACTGCACTTAGGTTAGAGTGAAGGCCAGTTAACATTGCTTTGACCTCCATGCTCTCTGAGTTGCCTTTCACAGAAGGTTGATATGATGATCCTCCATCAGCTCCAGTGGGTTGATTGTGTCATGCGGTGGCTCTGTGGCTAAGGATCTGTGCCTATGGCTAGAAGTTTGCTGGTTCAAATCCCGCAGCCAGTGGAGGAATCCTGCTCCATTGGGTTCCTGAGCAAGGCCCTTAACCCCAACTGCTCCAGGGGTGCTGTACAATGGCAGACCCTGTGCTCTGACCCCAGGCTCTCTCCCTATCTGTGTGTCTCATGGAGAGCAAGCTGGGGTATGCAAAAAGATAATTCCAAATGCAAGAAATTGTAAAGGGTTAATAAAGTGATATTATTATTATTATTATTATTATTATTATTATTATTATTATTATTATTATTATTATTATTATTATTATTATCCTGATGTCAGACACTTGATGTCTAATGGAGACTCCCTTCTCCCATCTTGGCCAAGGAAATCATAGTAGAGAAGGACTGAAGCATTTCAAAAGTGTATTTCCCAATGTTGTAAAAGCTAGCATTAAGTACAGAAATATCTATATCAACACTAAGGAGACTGTAGTTCTTAACCTAGCCAGATTGAAGAAGAATGTCTGGGAAGGGCACAGCACTCTGAGACTCAAACATTGCCAGAATAATGGGACTGGATACGTAGCCAGAATGTAAAGTACACAAAGAGATATCTTCCTAGACAATACCTAGTCAACCTGCCAGAGAGCATGTGGATATTTAAGTATTTTTATCAGTCACCTTCGGGTTTGTGGAAGACAGTTATTCTTGATCATGAGAGAAGGCAAATGAAGCATTAGTTAGAGCAGCAGGTCTTCAAACTCCTCACTGATTTTAAGTTCCTGTATGATGTTGAATGTATATAAAGTAGTTCTACTATTTGCTTAACATCTGTATGATAGTAAAGTCATATAAAGTCATAAGTTCATATTTAATCCATGTGGACATTACATAACTGTATGAGTTCTATAATGTATGTACTGGGTAATTTTAAGACTGTCAGCAGTACATACTGTAGGTGTAGGGAGCACTTTATTTGCCTATGATGCTAGTGTTCCAGTGTAATGACATTTGTATCTTACTTGTTTTGCCTGTCAGGTTCAGAAGCGGATGACTCTAAAGTCTTTGGTGAGGGCTATGATGAGTATGCCTACTCACTACCGCTGCCTGTGCATCAGCCATCTCATTGGCTGGACTGCCTTCCTGTGCAACATGCTCTTCTTCACCGACTTCATGGGGCAGGTAAGAGAGGAAGGCATTGTACTGTCCCCTCGATAGCCCAGTAAAACTGTACCGGTCGTAATAATATTTAATATTTATTAATTAACCATACTATTTTTAACCATACTATTTTTGCACTGTTCCAAGAATTACCTTGCACTGTTTTTGTCCTGTTATATTTTCTCTGTTTGCGGAATTTTGCACAGTTTTGAAAACTTAATTACATGTTATTTATGTTATGTTCTTACATGTTACTGTTATTGCTAATCTGTTGCTATCTATTGTCTTATCTTCTGTCTTTTTCATATACTGTACCTGGGTAACTAATGAGAAACACTTTTCATTATACTATGCACCTGTGTAAGTTTAATGACAATAAAGTTGAATTGAATTGATATGACAACCCTTTGATTAACAGGAAAATCATTCAATCCCAGTCTTGCTAGTGAGTTTCTAAAAAATTAAATTATCTAAAGTTTGTCTCATAAAATCTGAAGAGCTTCTGGACACGTGCAGAAAATTAAAAATTCACAGAGAAAGTTTTAATGCTTAGCATTTTAGTAGGAAATGCAGACAGCTTAACAAATGCAGTTTTTACAGATGTAAAGTAGCTGGTCATATGTAAAAAAACCAACTGGAATAAAAAGTTTATTGGCACATCCTAAGGACAGGACAATCCATGCAAACTAAGTACAGCTTCAGTGTTGCTGGCGAAATTAGAATTTGTCAGATTGTATTATCATCAAAACCCTGGTGGGAAGGTTTTTCAAGGAATGTACAAAACACTGCAGTAAAACGTGCAGGCAGGTGTCCTTTGTATAATTCATGCATTTATACAGACAGTGTGGCATATGACCATGCATGTTAATGCTTTCTCTTATTTCACCCTTCCATTTCTTTCTCAAGATCACAGAGAGAAAGGCATTCAGCTGTTCCTCTTCTTTCCACCCACTTTGTAATGCCACCCCCAAGTTTTACATGCCTGTCCAAACCTTGGTTTGATATGGAGGGAAGATGGGTTCTCATAATATACTGTACCTTTTTTATCTTTATGACATACATGTGACAGTGCTCTGAGCGAGTTAAAGAAGTGTCTGAAATCTAGGCAGTGTAAAATTCGGCGGGAGCACGTGACGAATTCCGGCAGGGACAGTAAGACCAGGATTTGTCACACAAAGACTGTATTTAAAACTTCACTTATTTTTGACTGATGCAGTTGCTTAAATATAACTCTTCTGTTTGCAAATAGATACTTGTAGCTGTCTGTGGCTGGATATAAAATGTGTCTTTTTCATTTGCCTCCAATGGTAAACATACTGTAGCAGCATCGTCTGGGATGGATCCATTGAAGAGAGAAACAGCATAGGGACTGGAAAGTTCCAATTTCGTATTAGAAAAACATACAGTAGATGATGTGATCAGGAGTGAGGAATCAAAGACAAATGGAGGATGAACCTCTAATAAGGTTCTAACTCTATGTGTAAATGGACACAAACAACCAAAACAATTTAACCCAGGGAAATTTAAGGGGGGGGGGTGCTTGGCCTTGAGAATTGCCGTGATTTTATTTCTGTTGTGTTGGTACTTGGTAAAGTATTTACAGTATTAAATGGTGCAGCAACAATGTGGGATTAAAGGAATGTAATAATGTGACTGAAGGAACCTTTGATGTTAACATACATAGACTCCAGGCACAATGAAAGCTGAGCACTTACTGTACCTGAATTAAACCAACTCTTTGAACATATAGTAATTGCGTAGGATTGCTGTCTTCGCTTACATAAAGCAGGGAAGGTGTTTGGGCAGTTTTGATTCAGGTATCATTTTCCTTTATGCTTCCTGTTTGTTATTTATGTGATTACTCATATCTGAAAATTGTATATACTGTAGGCAGGTTTAGGGTTATTGTTATAAACTTATTATTACAGTATTTACTTGCTTATTCGGTTATACTGTATGCTGTGCAACCTCTATACCACAATTCACTGTTACACAAGTAATAGTTGACTGTTATTTAATTGTAACACTGTCATCCCATGTTACAGGTTGGGTGTGGACAGTTATTTTTATTTATATTTTTCAGTGCTGCAGCTTGTTTCTTCTGCTTTAGTGGTCTGACAAATGTTTGAGCTGTTTCCTGCTGTATGTTGCTGTTCAGGCTTGTAGTTTGCAATTTCATGCTTTGGTGATTGAATGTTGATGTTTTTTCTTAAAGCATTCTCTGTAATGTGCATCAATTATTCTAAACTCTACTGTAGTTTGTAATTTATATCTGACTGTGCCCATGTACCTATAAATGATGAATTTATCAATGTCTAACTTGTGTTGTTAAGATTATAATGTGACATCAAAGTAATACAAGGGATCTTCAAAATAATGTAAAGACATACACTCAGATCCAATGATCAAGGTACTTATTTGAACACAAGAGTAGTGTTTAGTTACAATTTAGTTACGTTTTCATCACTTATTGACTAACTAGCTACACTATTGCTGTAAAATACAAAAGGTCAAATTAAAAAACAGAAACCAGTGACATATGACAGTTTTTTATGCCAGTTATAGGTAAAACCTAATAATTGTACAGTAACTTAATAAATAATAACTTACCATTGGAAGTGTTTCCAAGGTATTTCCTGCACTACATATTGCAAGTCATTCTGTTGTCTGTTCTGTTGCCTTGGCTTGCAAATGTAGATCGTGTACAAGGGGGACCCCTATGCTGAGCACAACTCTACAGCTTATGCCGCATACGAGAGAGGGGTAGAGATCGGTTGCTGGGGCCTGTGTATCAATGCCGTCTCTTCTGCCTTGTTTTCATGTAAGTGAAAAATGAATTTGAATGCCACTGTATGCTTCTGTCTCCTGCTTAATGTAATCTCTATTATTCTTTTGTCACTTGTAATTCTTAGCTTGTTTTGCTCGTGAGTATAAATGAAGTGACATGAGTTCATTTTATTTTTCCATGGCTGCCATACTATCAGTGTTTTGTGAGGTTTTTGTTTTGGTATACGTACAGTACATTCAGTTATGCTCCTGTCAAATAAATAGACTCTCTTAGGGACAGGATAAACGTGTTTGAGCATGAGTCAAATTCCTGGCCAGGGAATATTGATAGTAAAAACATTTGTGGTATTGACCAGTCTCCCTTTAACAAAGTGAGCTTTAATAGCATAGTGTGTAAACAAAATAAGTACAGTATATATCCACAGTACTGTATGTAGGAAAAATAATTTGAATGTTGCTTCCAGTCAGGGGCTGGATGAGATAGTTGGATGAATTAGGTACTGCCAGCCAAGTAGATGGTTTCTCTTGTTGGTAACCTCTCTTAAGTTCTTATGTTCTTGTTACATTATAGGCTGTACAGAGGCCACATCAATGCTCCACTGTTTGTCTAATATAAGAACAATGTTTGAAGTAATACATGCCATACTACCCCTAAAAGCAAATGTTATTGACAAACGATATAATCAGTTCTGGAACTGTGTAAAAACAAGTACTGCTTAATGCAGGATTGGAAATCTAGAGCAACTACAAGCTTTTCTACTTGATTTCAATCAAGAATCCTTCTAGCAGTTGACTTCTTTTAATGGTTAATTAAAAGACTCAGCATAAATGTTTAAATACATGCAAGATGATCAGACAAGAATAAATATTTTACCATTAGATAACAAGACTTTGTTTTTGTACAAGAAACTTGTATGTAAAGTAATTTTGTATCATTTGGTTGACCAAAGTAATATTTAATTTTGTGAGTTTTATTATACTGACAACAAAAATAATTCATTCTAAAAAGTATACAACAGCATTCATTTTCCATATAGCAGCTCTCTTCAGCTCAGTCTCTCTGTACCTGTGAGTGTGATTGAACACTGCTGACCTCGTCCTCGTCCTTGCCCAGCGAGATCCAATAGTGTGCACTGCACCAGGGCATGTCTGCTGAACTAATACCCTCACTTTAATGCAGTGATCAGGCCGGTCTCTGGGAGGAAAGATACACAATTGTACGATTGCGCACCTGCATTGATGGTTACTTTTTTATGTGTACATGTGCTTGCATACAGTACAGTAGTTATGTTTTTTCCAATATCTGAGCAAAACTATAACAGAATGTACTTTGAAATACATCTACTCATGTTTTCAGACTCATTTGTTATGTTTCTCACTGCAGAATCTTTTGTAGGTGATATGTGGAAGTGCAGGGTTTTTTTTAATCACTTTTATTATCTTAGCTGTATTAAAATGCTCTTTATTGAGACACCTGTTCAACTAAACTAGTGATAAATTTGCAATTTCATTAAAATTTGACTTGTTTTTGTGTGTCCTCCAAGGGCTCTAATTAAGCGACAGGTTGCAAAAGGTTTTTTCAAATTCATGTTTCACATGCTGTTGCCTCAACCTCCTTACTCCTGTCTGTCTTCAGTGCCTTATGTCTCTCTTATTCCTCTCCTATCCTCTCCCGCAAGACTTTCAGTTCCCTTCTGCATTTTCCTACTTCCACTCCTCAGCAATAGAATGACTCACCTATCCCAGACCTTGATCATATTCTGATCCTGCTCAAGACTGAACTGTGAAGACGGCTTGCAGTTCCATTCTTCTCTGTGTCCTTGACTCTCAAGCTGGCTCTGGGATTTACCTATTGCTCCTGTTCACTGTGGACATGGAATCTTTTCCACCAGGTAGCTTGATATCCACATTTCAGTTCTTCAGTTTTGTTTTGTTTTGTTTTTTATATTTTCAGATGTTCAGCAGTTCCTCTTGCCCTACATAGGACTGAAAGGACTGTACTTTACTGGATATTTCATCTTTGGCCTTGGTACCAGCTTGATTGGACTGTTCCCTAATGTGCAGTCCACTCTCATCTTGTGCTCAGTCTTTGGGGCGATGTCCAGCACACTCTACACTATACCCTTTAATCTCATTTCAAAGTATCATCGAGAGGAAGAGGTAAATGGAAAAGGTTTATTTGTGAATAACTAAAAAGCAGTCTTTTAGCAAATACATTACAGAGGCTAATGTTCAGTTAGTACCTAAAGAGTTGCATTAACAGCTGTCTTAGACTAGGACTGCAGCCATTTCAATCCAAACCATTGGTGATTTTATTCAACAACCAGTTCCCTACCTACTTGATGGGTAATTGGCAGGTTTAAGATACCAATTAAAGGTTAAAGGGTCTCCAAGTGAATTGTACCGTAATGAATCTTTGTTTAGTCCTGTCCATAATCATTACTTACCATGAACTCCATTTATAACTTTCTGGGCAATTATGAAATTCCATTTCAGAACATTGCTGCTATAAAGAAGGTATTCCACTCTCATACACTTCTTATACACTTAACAAAACATCCTCTCTCCCTAAATCTTTTTGTTTACTGGCTTTGAATGCCTCTCCAGGGAGTTTTAAGAGCTAAAATTGCTGAGCCGAATGTGATAGAATTGTGCAGGGGCTCCTTGGGCACAAATGAGTCCAGCAGCAGGTGTAATGCGCTTATTTTTCTCTGCTGTGTCCTGTTATCCCTCCTCCTACTCTGTCTGCCTTCACTTAGCAGCAGGGGGTAGGTACCCTGAATGAGTGCGCTCGCTGCAGGTCTCACGTTTCACCACACGGGGCAGGAAGTTCAAACACGTCAAAAAGTAAAGCACTTTGCCGATGAGCTCTGTGCTCTTTTTTTGGCATCCATAAACAACACTGGGAAAATGAAAGTGTATCTAATCCCATAAGCAAAATATATGGCTCATGCTGTTAATATTTTCTCATTTAGATTAACAGGAGAAATAGCAGGACTCGTGTTATAATGCAGTTAGAATTGGTTTTCATTTTTATAAGTGACAGACCAGCATGTGAATCAAACCCGTGAAATAGTAGTGTAAAATATTAAAATGTTTGCCTAACTACACAGATCTGCCTTTTTAAAATATGATAAGACAGAAATTCTCAAAGCCTGATGCTGGCTTAATTCTGATAGAATTATTAATGCTTTATAAAGGCCTGTGGTGTGAGCAGCTAGATATGTCTCATTTTACATATAAAAGCTCACTTCTTAAAGATATTAATGCTATTACTTGGACTTTACTGGAAATAATCATTTGTAATTTGTATCGGAGTATCAGTGGAGTGGATTGACTACATTGTTTTAAACTAAAAGACTGGCTAGTTCTCATAATAAGTCCAAACTGAATTAAAGAATGCCAAGTTGCTTTGTCTAGAGGTTAATAGTTGTCTTCTAAAATGCTGGAAGCAAATTACAGTCTTCAAGGATCACAGTGTCCCTGTTTTGCCATTTTGTCTAATATCTCAGTGACTTAAATTTAATTATCTAACAAGATAACAAAGCCTAAGACATTGAACATTGCGTGACGTTCTACTCTAGTCTACATGCATCTATAAAACATTAATTGCGCAAGACCTCTAGGGGAAGTGGAGGAGTGCACATCCCCACAGAGTCTACCAACAGAAAGAAAATCAGCCAACAGTAAAAAGGGCTGTTCTGAAAAGTTTTTGGCTCTCTTACTACTGTACTCTGTCAAGATTTCAAACAGCAAGAAAAATTGAAGAAGCAGAAGGAGAAGATCTGGCTGCCATGCAGTGAATCTCCTTTGTTTTTTGTTTCACAAGCTCTTTCCCCTGCTCTGGGTCTCTCAATGTCATGTGGCCATGGGGTTTCTAGATGATCCAGATCTTCATGGTTCTCAGCTGTTGGTTCTTCATCTTTTTTAATCCTTAAATTTAGGGCATCCCACAGGAATATTGTGGAGAACTCTCCATTCTCCCCATTATGTGCTTAAAGCTGAGCCTTGCTTAATTAAACTATACTGGGTTCTATTTTCCATCCAGATAAAAAAAGCTTACATGTAATTTTCTGGGTGAGTGAACTACTGTATGATAGTTGTTTCTGAACAATATTTTAGCCTCCATTTGTTTCAAATGTACTTTACAAACATCTGAACTTTTATTAGGGTGATTTTTTAGGCTTTTCAATTTGATTCAGAAAGTGTTGAAAGTCTGAAACTTTTTTCTGGTGTCACAGAAATGGAAGATATATAGCAAGGAAGAAGAGAAATAGCTAAAAGATAGTTGTCTTTGTTGAAGGTGGTGGCATATAATGAATCTGTTAATCTGAGCTATAGGTTCACTTGGGAATCTGAGGTCTGAATTTTCTGGTGATGTTTCATTAAACATTATATTGACCTAGATGTTATTTTTTGTTTGAGTTTCTTTGAGCCTTCTGTTTTGTTTTCCAGCTAGCTGGGAACAATTGTTTTGTTTTCACTTTGGTGTACAACTTGCTTTCTGTTAGAAGCATCTTTTTCCCATGTGGCACCATTGATTGCTAGGCAAATCTGGATACTGTAATGTTACTCCAACACCAATATAACGATCCTTTGAATGAAAAGTCATAGACTAGACTAAAAAGATTTCTTTTTTAAAGGTCCTGAACCCTTGTCTCTTGATTAGGGTAATTCACAGAGATGTTGCCTGTTGGGAAAAGCTAGAAAGCATTGTTGTAATCCTGTTATCCAAACGACTTAATGCCTTAACAGAAGAAAGTACCAATAGAGTTTTTAATGTAACCCCTTGTGTAGCATTGAATTTCCCACATACAGTAAAATGCAACCCCCACAATTGACTTAGGCTGGAATATACACTACATTACCAAGGAATTAAGTCATTTGGATTGAGTGTAATGAAGTTTTGTTTTCCCAAGGTGTGTCCATCCACTTCCTGAAAGCAAGACTCAGTGACCTGATCATGACTATTTGCATGTGTCTCTGCCCTCAGGTCCAGAGGAAAGCGGAAGGAGCTGCGGAGGCAGACTATCGGGGCACAGGAGTGGACTGTGCTGCACTCACTTGCATGGTCCAGCTGGCACAGATCATTGTGGGGGCTGGGCTGGGCGCTCTGGTCTATCTAGCTGGCAGTGTTGTCGTTGTTGTTTTATCGGCCTCCGCTGTTTCCCTAATTGGCTGTTTCTTTGTTGCTATCTTTGTGAGATATGTGGAATAGTGACTAAAATAAATCAATAATAAAAGCTAGTCTTTAGGAATCACCTTCTCAATTGCTTTTGTATTATCATGAGTGCAAAGAACTGTGAGTCTGGTATATTTTTACAGTCATTAGTTTTAAAACAACAAAAATAGATCAAATAGATGATGAATAAAATTGTAATGCAGGCATGTTTTTTTATTATCCACCCACCTGTTGGTAAGCATGTTTCTCTGGGATAGAAAAGTAATAAGGATATCTAAAAGAAAAGACAAGAATCTATTTTCATTGTGTAATCTCACAGCACCAGAGCTCAGGCATTACTGAAAAGGACTATACTTTACTCAAACAGTAGCGCAATCTGGATGTGTATGGTGAGCTAATGATGGCTTTGTTGTCCTTAAAGTAAAAACAAAAACCTTTGGCCATTTTCAAACAACTTAGGGAAAGCTTTGACACAGTGTTTCAATAGCATAACACACATCTCATCTGAATTTTTGAACTGTGCATTTTCAGGCCAAAATGGATTCCGAGCAGAAGCCTTTAGTGACTGAGACACTTGGGAAACATCCAACCTCTTCACTCAGGCATTTTGACATTTTAAATTTTTAAATCAAATTATTTTCTCGCTTCTATACCCCAAATGGGAATGTCATTGACTTACCTCACTAAAGGCAGCGTTTCTACAGTACCTAGGAGAAAAGTAAAATGAGCAAGGTGTCTATCGGGCATCGAGTGAGATGATGGTTCCATTCTGCAACAGAAACAGAAGCTGATCAAAGCATCGAAGTGTAGAAAGAAAACTGGTGAAAATTCCACCTCGAATTGAATGTGGAAGGCCGCCGGCCCCGTGGACGACCGTTTACGAGCTGGCTGGATTGGCTGAAAGACGACATGTTTCCTCGCAAAAGTCACCTGCCGAGACGCCGCAGGCTGTAGAAAGTGGAAAAATCGGTGCAAACAAGCAGACCCCACATAAGTGGGAAAATGCGAAGAAGAAGAAGATTCTGCACTTCAGAGAGAATATCCACATACGGTAGGAGAAGCCACTAAGAAACCATGCTTTAATCTTTTTAAAATCTCATACATTTTTCCCACAACATTTTAAATAATCCTATTGATTTCCCCCCCCCAATTTAAGTTTAACAAATTGCAGGTGTCTTCCCCAAACTCCATGTTAGAGAAAACCTTTGCTTTACATACCGTAAGGTTTTACTTTTGCTGCTGCTGAACCCTGTGTTACTGTATCAGCTTGGGAACTCAGATTCCACTGGTAGTAATAGACAACACACTGCTAAACTGCAGCCTCCTCTCCTTCTGTTATAGAGATCTCTCGTCTGAAGTGAGAAGGGTCAGAATCTCAGCTTCCCTAGTGTGTCTTCTAGTCCTTTAAGTACAGAGCTGTCCTTATTTTACACTAGAACAGATAATGAACTACAGTATATGAGTTAGATTGATCCCGCTTTGACTCGGATTGTGTGCTTTTTAAATGCAAGCTTCTCCTTCTCTGCAAGACATTTGGGAAAACAGCTCAGCCCTTAATATCAACGATTTCCATTAAACTACAGCTATAGTGAAAATATCAGTCACACACTTATCACCTTTTATAATAGTGCACAAAAACCAGAGTTAGCAAGTAAAATGATTGACTTGCTATAGTCAGGATGTCATCTTAGTGTCATTTGTAGAGAGTGACACATCTTGTAATACAGATATTCACCTTGCATGTTATAATATCATGAAGCAGGTGTTTTTAACTACTGTAAGTGTTTACTTAGTAGCATAATTCTCAGTTTTGTAAACAATAACGTATCATTCATTAAGGTAGTTGTAATAATTTATCAAGCATGATCTAAGTTCCTAAAAAAGGATTGCAGCAGGGAGGTTGTCACATTCTGTAGAGGAGTGAGGAACAATTCATCTTAGAAGGAATATGGTTTCTTGTTCATATTACGGTTCATCTTTTGGGTCATGCTTTTAACGTAAAGCAACTTATATTTGTACCCATTTATAGAGTTGGGAATTTTAATAGAGCATTCTGAATAGAGTACTTTGCTCAAGTGTACAACAGCATTGTCTCACCCAGGATGTGACATCACTCAGCCTCCCCTCACAAAGGTGAAAAGAGTCACGTGACTCCCCAAGAAAAGAATGCAATACCGTATATCCCTGGAACAACAGCACTTCAGATGCTACTTTTAACAGCACAAACCAGCATAATCAGAGGGTTTCATTGTTTGTGCTGTTTGTACGGCTGCTAACACCATGGAGCCAAAGAATATGTTTTCTCTTTCTGGCACACAACTCCAGATGCTCGATGGGTGTCTTCATCAGTGGTGGCAAATGACAGCTGTTCTCTCTTGACGTTTAAAACACATGGAGACTCCATGAATACTTCTATTATTCTCGAACTCTGTAAAGAGGTTTGCTAAGAAACTAGTAAAATGCCTCCAGTTTATTTTGAAATTAAAGGACCTCTGGTGGCCAAGCAGCATTACACGCGCTGTTAGTCCAAGTGTTTTAATTTCGCTAGCCTCCGTGCTGCGTTTAGTTTCTCTCCTGGCTGTTCTGTAATTAGACGTCGAGAACTGTGGAGATGTGTACACGGTCCTGTGATCACAGAAAAACGTTTTTACTTGAGTTATTTTCCTGGCTCCCAGATCTTGTGCTGAAACACATAGAAAGCTTTAATACCGTATATTGTGAACGTATCACAGTGATCCCCGTGTTCCATCTTCAGATTCTGATCAATTAACGGGCTGGGTAATCCCACAGACTAAATTTGCTTTCTAATCAATAAGGTCATTGCCTTGTGTGAAGTTCAAATAATAAGCAGATAATCTTTCTGAACCAGAATACCTGTTAACAGTGTTATAGCTACGGTAGTGGGCAAAACATTTCAATGTACAGTATGTCCAGTTATGTGTTCCAGTTAAGGATAACTGGTTACATTTTAAGAGGATTTCGCTTTGTTACCATTGTGGACATTGTGTCAAAAAGTTTAATGATAATCTGTTTTTGATGTAACTGAACAGCTCTTTACAGGACCGGATTAGCTGTTTAAAATAAACTAATGGCACCTTTATGCGCTTCGTGTAAACGTTAGACTTGACGAAGAAAATAAGACAATACGTAAATTAAAAATAAATGAATTCAAAATTGAAAATTAAAATGCTTATCATTGCCTCTTTACGTTAACATTGCCTATTGCTCTGTGGCTCCGGGTGTGATTAAAGCAGGTGGATAGTATGAAAAGGAATTGGTAACAAGGTATGAAAAACTCTTTGCTTCTGCCTGCTTCCGTCAGTTTCATTGGTGTTCTAACCAAGGAGAACGAAACGTATGCAAGAGTAATCCAGCTCATTTTGCTGGGGATTCAGGGCCTGTCACCTCCGCCATGTGTATCCAGTTATTATGTGGTTCACAGAGCGCAATGGGGCTACGGTTTGTAAGCATCTCTTTCCTGCAAATTAAGGAATGGGCATCTTTTTATGTCTTTGTCAACACAGCATGTGCGTGTAAAACCAATAGCGGAATTCGACTTCACAGCTGTAGTGCAGTGTATGGCATAAGTGTATAAAATGTTTCTTTTAATGGGCACCGATAAGGCCAATTTTTGAGACTTATAAGACAAGAATGAATTTTAGAGTTTTGCAAATTCGTAGTATGCTTAAATAAGAATTGCTTTGAATATTACCTACAATATAAACAAGTGAAGTTAGATGTATAAATACGAAAGGAAACTTTACAACTTTCTGTAACAAAATGTATCAGTCCACTCCAGCCTCGTGTGTAATTCTTGTTTTTTTACACAAAATTGCATTGCAGTTCATTAACCTTCAGAACGTGTAGATTATGCACACATTTCTAGACTTTGTCTTGTCATTCTACTTGTCTTTTTATATATCGGACGTATACAAACAGTACGCAATATTAATCAAATTTACCCCAATCCTAATACGATTTCATAACACGATTTATTGATTGACGGGCAAAACACAGATACAAAGGAAACTCCTTTACGTATGTCAAATAACGAACAGAACGTTTTTGAATCTAATCAATTCTACGTTTCCCGTGTTGATGGTCTCACTGTTCATAACTGTCCGCAAAACTTTTTTGAACTCAAAAACTGAAATCAAAGATATTGTCTTACTTCTCTTTGTATTTTGATCATTCTGGATAAATGTTTAGTTTTTGCTTTTTGACAACTGTTTTACTCCTTAAATTTGAAAATGATATACTACAAAAACGTTTTCTTGGCGTAACAGTACAGTAGAGTTCAATACTTTTCTCCTGTGATACATAATCTTGGCTTGAAAATTGAATCTTACTGTTACGAATCTATAATTGGATATGTATATGTTTTTCTGTTTAATTATCTTTAAAAAGTAATTGCAATGAATGTGAAGAAAAAAGCCATTGATCGGCATCAAAAATAAAACCATACAATATAGCGCTTTATTTCAATAGTTTTAAACAATAATTTCAGTAGCACTGTTTACAACTGGCATTACACAAAATGCTTACAGCACGTTATACTTGAAATACGACTAAATAATAAAAGCACACAATTGTTCCTGTGAGAGTCACAGAAGTGGTACAGAACGTTCTTACATGTACTGTATAAGCAATGCTGTAATCAGAAGTGCACAAATTATTGCTACAATACTACACTTATTAAAGCTTATATATATATAATTTGTGGCGAAATTAAGATCAGAATAGAAAATCCTCCAAAGACCATACAAAGTATCCGTTACATGGATATTTACGTCGTTTCTTTAAGAATATTTGTTTAATCTACACATGTCTGACTATGTAAAAGAAAGTACAAAAAAATGAACTGGGCAACCAGACCGTTTTTTAAATATGCACGGTATTTAAAATTTCGGAAAGGAAATAGTAAATAAGCATTGTAACCAAACAACAAAGTCTGGGATCGAGGATATGTTGATCTCAGATACTGCTCCATGGCGAATCAGAGATCTAGTACCTCTGCTCCGTGGTGTTATTAGGAAGGAGGTCGTACCTTCCGTTATACATTACAGCTCCGGGAGGATAAAATATCAGTGCGGGTTCCGCAGGGGTTAGGGGAACCAAAGCATTACCCTGCTCGTCCTGCTCGGGTTTGGTGGTGGCCGTGAATGGTCGCATGTTGGTGACTGACGGAGAAGTGATCTTCCAGAACAGGTTTTTTAAAACTTTTCTAAACTCTCTTCTCATTAAACAGTACAGAATGGGATTCAGACAGCTGTTGGAGTGAGCTAAGCAGACCGAAACCGGGAAGATGTAAGCCTGAGTTGTGTAGTACTCGTAACTGAAATGAACTACGTTGAGTTTTATTAGAATCCCCCAAGCCGTTAATGCCTGGTTTGGCAGCCAGCAAAGAAAAAAAGATAGGACGACGATAGTTACAGACTTTGTTACTTTGGACCGTCTTTTGGTGCTGGATGTGTTGACGTTCTTGTTGGTAATGAAGCGCAAAAGGAGCAAATAGCAGACCGTGATGATAGCCAACGGGATCACAAAGCCTAATAATACTTTCTGTGCATGATAAAGCCCTAACCAAAACTGAGCATCACCCCTCTTGTCCGGAAACTTCACCAAACACAGCTCTTCATTGGACACAGTGGATGTTGTAGAAAAAACCGCATGGGGCAAACCGGCAAGGATGGCTGCGATCCAGATCAATACACTCATCCACTTAGCGGAGCAGCAGGGCGGGCGTCTTTTGCTTTTCAGAGCAGAGGCGACGGACCAGTACCTGGCTACACTCATAGCAGTCAAAAAGAAAACGCTGGCGTACATGTTCATCGCAGTCACGTAAGATACAATCTTGCACATGGCTTTACCAAACAGCCAGGTGAAATCCAAAGCGTTTTCCACAGCCCAGAACGGTAAAGTCAAAACGAACTGGAAGTCTGTCACCGCCAGGCTGGTCACAAACAGGTTGATGGAGGATTTTTTCCATCCCTGTTTAGATTTCATGAGGTACAAGACCAGAATATTTCCAATGAGTCCAAGGGCGCATACGACAGAGTAAACTATAGAAATAATGATTCTCAGAACAGCGGATCCGTCACCCACAAAGTCAGCCTTATCCGGATCCAAGATATTAAACAGATCCGCCCAAGAACGATTTGTCCTGTTAAACATGAAACTCGTGTTGTACGCAGCAACCGGGAGCATTCCAAATATATCTCCTTCAAGCGCCGCTTGCATCTCTGATCCTAAAGCCGCATCACTGTCGTTAAAAAGGACATCCATCCCATGTTTCAGTGGAGTCTCCCTGGGGTTCCGTTACGCAGGAATCGTTTTTACTTTCATACGTTTTTGCAAGCCTTCAATAGCCTTGTGATCCTGCTACTGTTATGTCCAATTCTCGCTTCCTGTCCAGTCAGAGATCGTTCCATTGTTAGCAAAATTAATTCAAAGTGTTGTGCTATAAAACATGCGAAGCTGTTCTACACTGGAAAAGTTTAGATGCAATTCTGTAAATTTTACGTTCTATACTGGTGCGCACCTTTTTAAATGAAAAATTCCTCAATTAGAAATCCATCTCGTGAGTATGTCACCTTTGTAACGCAAAAGAGTAAAAAAGCATTCGTTTTGAAGTGTTTTTTTTTTAGCTGATCGACGTCTTCTTTCAAAAGAAAGAATTCATTACATTGCACTTAGCAAAGGATGCTGATTGAAATGAGATTCAGTTGTACAGTTTGTTTCTTTATAAGATGTTTAGCGCAGTTCCGCATTCAGCTACACGTCGGCTATAAGGAGTTCATGTGAAATCATCTGTTTGAAAGTGTTGAGCGCTACGCCTTTTATGTCAGTTACTATGCAGGGATTGGGCAAAGCGTGCCATTACGCGTGGGATGCCAGTTTCCATGAGCTCTCCGTGGTGCTGAAGTGCATTAAGTGGGTTTCTAGAGTCTGATTTGTTGACACTTTCCTGTAACACGAACGCACAGGTAAGCGCTCCCGGTGCAGGGTGAGTTGTCTTGAAATTAAACAGTCATATGCATTGTTTAGACAATGTAAATAAAATCACGTTTCTCACCTTTTCATTAATTGCTGGGTGTTGAAACTGGTTAAAAGACGTTAATAGAAGATAATAAGGAAGCTTTACCAAATGCGTGGCTTTATAAAGTATTATAACAGGATTACATTTTGCACATAAATTATTATTGGTATTAATAGTAGCATAGGTGGTGAAAGTCTTGCAATGAGGTGCGCATTTCTGTTAATTATTTTCACCAATGGTTGTCATAGCGTTACATCAAACGTTTTGATGTTTTTTTACACATTAATGGTGTTCACAATTTTTGTTTTTCCCAAGCACCACCCCATCTTCATAAAGCAAACTTTTTCCTGGGAATTGGTGTGTTCTTTCAATATCTTTATACATGGGCGGCAAAATAATAAATTAACGTGGTAATAAAGTGGACATTTTCTTCAGCTGTTCAGATTCAGTTCTTGGTCAAGAGTATTGATTTTGGTAAAATCTGACACTATCCTCAGATCAATGCTTTTTCTAACAGCCACCGAGTCAGAGTATGATCATTAAAAAATAAAAATGGAGTAGTGGCATTCTTTTAACAGTGATTTTCATCACATAAACAGCTGTTGAAAGCGTAGCAGGGTAAACAAAGCAATGGACTAGTTATTATGCAAAGTCCATTGCTGAAGTCACCTGTTCGATTCCCTAATCCTCTTTTTTGAGTTCAATGGAATTTAATATTACTTATTTGCAAGATGAAGTTCAGACTAGGTTATTCGATTGGACAACTATGTCGATATTGTAGGCAATTAACGATACCCACAGGCTAGATTTACGTGAGGGAGATTGGGTCGAAACCGCTTCAGTGTTTCATTCCTCTGAATGAGGTCTTCCTTTGAACAGATGAATACTTACTTAGAATGTTATTTGATAATCGAATTTTTACCTCGAGTTTAAAGGTACAGTTTTGCTCCAGATGATGTCTTGTATGTCCGAGGTAACGAGAGGGACGGGAGAGATGAGGATCAAGTCAAGCTGCTGTAACGCTGAAAAGAGAAGAAAAGTACTTTTTATAAAGGCTGAGGAGCATAAGCTTTTCCAATGAAGGAAAACGGAGCCCTCTACTTCACGCTCTTGGGTGACTGCATCATTTTCACAATCACGTACCCGTGTTATTGTCTGGTATATGAGACATTGTATTATTGAGTTATAAATATGTGTAATGCCGGCAATCGTGTAAAAATGTCTCAGAATGGCACTCGGTGTAGGCAATGCTTGTGAAATTTCATTAACATCAGCCACGTGTTTATAGAAAGGGGTATTTGGTGTTGCAAAGACGTTTGGAAATGATCAGAACTAAAAGCTTAATGGAATAATACTAAATGGAAAAGAACTGTTGTGAAACGGTAATAGTAGTATAGTAAAACCGAGTAATTTAATACAGCCTTAAAAATTTTTTTCAGCTTTAGCAAGTTTTCAGCTAGTGATTGAGCCACTACTAGCACTTACAGTGCACTCAAACATCATGATTCCTCAACCCTCCTTTAGCTTTTTAAGTCTCGGGTTCTTATTTATGGAAGAATACACACAAAATATCTGATTTAGTATAAATCCAGCAATATAAAGACTGTAAAGGTGATTTGGATAAACCTGAACCCGATTTTCACTACAGGTAATATAATAAGTTGTTTTTAAAACATTTAACTATGTAGGTTCTTAAATATAATTTCAAAAACCTCAAAGTGGTTGTGCGATGGTATTGAAGCATTGGCACCTTTTTAAAATGTCCTCACATTGCAGATGCAAGCAACTTAAATCCCTAAGTGTGACCTTTCTTATAACAGAAGATATGAGTACATTGAAAACAATTGCCTTTCTCATAAGTAATTTAAACCATCATCACTGAAAGAGCAGCCCAGATCAGTACTATGCAGGGGTCCACATCTCAATAGAAACGATGAGAAGTCACCCACAACGTGCAAATTTGGGCACCCACTGACTATAATTAGTGCCACCCAGGACAGCCTGGTATCTACAATCCCAGTTGTAGTAGTATAGACATCAAAGATGGATTTTGATCAGCAGCCAAGAGAAATGTTCTCACATGAATCAAGGCTCACAGCAGAAAATGTAGGCAACTGTACTAAGATGTGTTAGGGTGATTCCATGGCTGTGAATTACCAAGACAACAGAGTTGAGCATCACATCATGCTCTTTGCTTGCCATCCCTGACTGTGGGTTAAAGATTTCAAAATGATTCTTGCATCTGGGTTCACTTGTGAGCCCAATATGGTACCAGACTTCTAGAACACCCAATAACATTTAATTGTCATGTACTGTAGCTGAAAGTTGGACATTTACCACTGTTTGGATGAAGTGCTCTGTAGATCTGAGCTGGGAATATGCCTGAAAGACAGTAATTGGATCCCAGCTCTTGGTTCTTGGGGTTTCGGCCCTTGCTGCTCCTGCTCTGCCAGTTCCCTCACTGCCTGGGCGCGAACCCAGGTCTTCAGCATCACGCAACAGGGAACATGCCAGCTGAGCTAATGGAGAACCCCTGCAGCCTGGGCGGCTGAGATCCATGTTATACACAGGGGTATATTCGTTACATTCTCCCCCTGCTTATTTTGACGTCCTCGGCAAAGAGCCATCCCTGTACGAGCCACCATTGTAACGGTTCTTGACGTTTTCCGCCCTACCCACTCCTGCCCTGCCTGTTCGTCGCTCACTGTCTGGGTGCGAACCTGGGTCTCTGGCATCACGCAACAGGAAACTTGCCAGCTGAGCTAAAGGAGTACTCCTTTTTTAAACTGTTAATAATTTTCCCCAGAGGACATTCACTGGATCAATGAGTGTCACTGCAGTGGCATGCCACTTTTCAAAAGTAATTTATTACAGGTACAAGTTACATGTGCAAGAGGTTACTTTTTAAATTCACATCTAAGGACATTTTCTTATCATCTGTGATTCTCCTACTTTTCCTTTCCAGTCTCAAGTGTATTTTGCTTTGTTTTTAGTGTGCCATTTTAGGATTTAGAAGCTTATGGATTTTTGTAATCAACCATGTAATAGAAGAACTTCATGCTGTGTATTAAATTTAGAGAAATGCAATGAATCATGAACAAAAATGAACAATTTGATGTTATGTTCAGGCTAAAGCCCAATCTTTATGGATTTTATATTTATTTTGTGACTACTTATTCAGATTCATTTGTTTAAATAGTAAAAAGGATGATGTGCTGTTTGCATTATAGGGCAGGGCAGATATGCATACTGGTTGAATTGTGTATTGTCTGCCTAAGGCTCTTGATTAACCGATTTTTTCACTAATTTGACTAACATAAGACTCTAGTCAAGGGTACTGTATCATTCTCATTACACATGAATGAATCAAACAATCATTTGGGTGGAATCTGACAGGTGTAAGGCCAAAGTAGAAAATTTTACTGTAGTTCAGAATAGATGCACTCCAGGTTTTACAGAGAAGTCTATAGAGTAATGTCCAATGACTCCGTAACTGTACCAAATGTACATGTAACGAACTATTTTGTTTAACAATTTTTTTTACTTTATAAAGTAAAGTGCCTTTTCAGTAGCTCTGAACAGGACCAGTGTTTTTTATACAATTTTTTTAAAACCTTAGTAAATGGCAATATATCCATTCAAACGTTTTCATCGTTGGTACCAAGGAACCAAGGATCTGGTATCCTGTCTCCTTAATGAGTGTAGAGCAATGGATTCCAACCCTGGTCCTGGAGGAGTGCTGCATCTGCTGGTTTTTATTGCTCCTGAGATCTAAATCTAGGGTGCTAATTGAAGACTTAATTGATCTGCTTGCTTGTTTAGGTTTTTATTTAATTTGTTTCTTAAGTCAGTCCTAAGTGTCAAAAATGCCCCTTTCAAGAGAACTATTACCAACAATGTCAGGGCACAGAAGTTTACACACGATGATACTAATTAAAAAATCCCGTTTGACCATTTAACAGTTGAAAGGAAGTTTTTATGTACAGTATATGCCCCAAATTAAAAACAGAAATCAATTCGCCAATGATTAAAGACTCAGATGGAGCAAACATCAGAAGACAAGTTCACCAGGATCAGGGTTAGGAACCACTTCATTAGATAACTACGATCACTATCAATTACACCTGTGAGGCAACTCAGGATGGGTTATCTCTGAATGGACCTTATTGATACTCTGTTAAACAATAACACATACAGTACCAAAAAATCAAATCTCTTAAATTACTAAGGTGGGCAAATATTAACAAAAAATGTGCTGAATACAGTGCCAGAGGTATAGTGTGGTTCAGTGAATCAACAGTTGCAGAGGTGATGTTAATTCTGATTCCATCTCCCTCTCAGTAGTACTTCTTTTCTTATGACTGTGATTTAAGCACAGTCCAAAACACAAAAGTAGTCTTTGATATTCAGGCTTCAGTCCAGGGATGGACAGCCCTGGGCCTGCAGAATCCAGTACAGTGTATTTTATTGGTCACCTTTGAATCATCATTTTCTAAGCACTTTAATATTCACCTTTGAAGTGGGTGATTTTTTTTTAGATGACTGGAGGTGAAAACACTCACAAGGACAAGGAGTGAATATCACTGCTGTAGGCTTTCAAACATCACAGGTGGTGATTCCTGATTTGATTTAACTAATTAATTTAATAATTAGTAAAAACTCGCATGCCTTCAAAATCTTTACAAATTGGTGATTTCAGGATGATCTAGAAGACTGACAGAATTGTGACTTTCCAAGACTAGGATTCAGCACTTGTACTTCAATGTTGTTTTCAGTGATTTCCTG